GAAGAACAAAACGACAGCAACTTGTCTGTTCCCCTTCCCCAATCCCCCAGCACTGTTCCCATCCCCCCAATTCCCCAATAAAAAATCTTAAAAAAAAAAAAAGAAAAAAAGAAAATGATGAATACAAAGAAAAATGGGCAAAAATAAATAAAGAAGTATCAAGTTCATAGAAAAATAATTCAAATGGCTAATAAACATAAAATGGTCATTATCCCTTCATAATGAAAAAATGCGTATTAAAACTACAGCTATATATTATTTGTCACTTCTCAGAATGCCCTAAATTAAACAGTTTAATTTTTTAATGTTAAGGAAAGGAGGTGGTGAAATGTATTCTTGTACACTGATGGTAATATAAATTGCTTAAAATTTTTGAAGGTCAATTTGGCATTATCTGTCAAAATTAGAAATGTATATATCCTTTGTTCCAGTTATTCTGTCATACTTATACATTTGAAAACCTATGCCAAGATATATACACAAGGACATTAATTACTTATAAAACTCAAAGTGGCCTAAATGCCCAATAAGGGAGAATTGGTTAAATAAACTATGATGCTCCAAACAATGGAATATTAATATATACTGGTGTTAACAAAGAACAAGGTCATCATATGTGCTGATATGGGAAGATATCTATTAAAATGAAAAGCAACTATATAGAATATGCCTCCATTTTTGTAAAGATTTAAGGGGTAGACTCTGATATACATCTACATAAAACATTTTCTAGAAGGAAACACAAAATGATAATAGTGAGTACCTTTGGAATAGGGGCTTGGCGTCAAATTTTTGTTTTATGTGTTTCCAAATGCTTTGATTTTTTTAAAACATGTATATCTATTACTTAAAAAAATAATAATTTGTGTTGAAAAAGTAAATGCAAATTCAATGAGTACAATTTATGACAGGAATAAATATCTTTGTTCTTTTGATTAGTATTAGTGCATTTGTTTTTTTGTTTACAATAAAGGGAATATAATCAATAATGTTGTATAGATTATGTATGGATACTGGACTTATGGGGGGATCACTTCATAGATTGTGTAGATGCCTGACCACTGCACTGTAACCTGAAGCTGATATAGAATAGTATTGAATGTCAACTATATATATACATATATATATTGTCACGGGTTTATGGGATGTAAAGTATAGCATAGGAAATATAGTTAATGGTATAGTAACAGCTATATATGTGGTCAGAGAGGTAGTAGACTGGGAGGGAGATTATCACTTTGTGAGGGGTACAAATGTCTAATCATTATGTTGTTTTGTACACCTGAAACTAAAAAATAGTGAATTTAATTTTCTTATCAAAAGGTAATTAATTCTAAGGATTCCTGATATAAATATGCACATGCAAGTAACACATAACACACACCATGGAACCCATGGAAATTATTTTTAATGCCAAGCAAGATTTATATTTTTATGTTTCTCTACAAGCTACAAGTAGAATACACTTAAATGTATCTGCAGAACTGACATGGAGAAAAACTCTAAAACAATAGGTTATGCTCAAAGAAGCCAGTTTCATATTTATATTGCTAATCAGAGGTCCACATATTAACTTCATCTTTTGATAGTGAGTCTTTAACTTTATCTTCCATAGAGATTTCGCTTATGCAGCATCTTTTGGTGGACGACCAGGAGCTACCAAAGTAATGGTGGTTGTAACTGATGGCGAGTCACATGATGGTTCAAAGTTGAAAGCCGTGATCGATCAATGTAACAAAGACAATATACTGAGGTTTGGCATAGCGGTAAGTGAATTTTGTTTTTAACTGTCTCTCAGTAGATGGGTAAATGTTTCTTTATAACATTACTTCCCAAGACTGCCTTTCTCATTGGCTCTATATTAAAGAAAATATAGAGCCATATATATATCTATATAGCTTTATATTAAAGAAAAGTTTTGCCCTATTCCTGCTTCTTGCTGATTTTCAGTCCCATCAAGTAAGGGGATATGGATTTAAATCTCCAGATGACCTACTGTGTTCAGAAATAGCCCAGAAAATGCTAATAGGGAAATTGGAGGATAGCAGTAATGACCTTTTTTTCCTCTTCCTCTATTTTCAAGGTTCTTGGGTACTTAAACAGAAATGCCCTTGATACTAAAAATTTAATAAAAGAAATTAAAGCAATTGCCAGTATTCCAACAGAAAGATACTTTTTCAATGTGTCTGATGAAGCAGCTCTACTAGAAAAGGCTGGGACAATAGGAGAACAAATTTTCAGCATTGAAGGTAAAAGAATTTCTTCTTTCAAAAACTGTTTTCAAGAATTCTTGATTTTATTACCACCTACTTACTCTATTAATATTAACTTGTATGCCTTGTATGAAAAGAACTCTTATAATCAGTTCTAAAAATAGGCAAAGAACATGAATAAGTATTTTATAAAAGATAAAATACCAATGACCAATAACCATAAGAAAATAGCCTCAATATCAGTAATTATTTTTTAAAAAATAAATCAACTTTACTTTGTACCTAAAGATAACAAACAGTAGTAATGTCTAATCTTGGAGAGATTATGGGGAAACAAAGAAGCTCATACACTGTTGATAAGATTATAAATTGTATAACATTTTGAGGGGCAATTTAGTAATATCTAGTATAACTGTAAATAGTTTTACCTTTTTTATACTTTGTTATATAATTTCTGAAATTCTTGAATTTGTTTACAAAAACATGTATACTTTAAAATTAGAAAAATGTAGTGAAGCTTTTTAGTAGTTCAGATCTTGAGGAAACATTTTATTTACCAGATCTACAATAATTTACTGACATGGCCTTGGAAGGTCTAGTCAGTGCAGAAATATCCTATGTTAGAGAACTCATATGGAGGACTGTAACACGCTTAGTAAAAACTCCCACATGACCCAAATCCTGTTTCTGGATGGTTAACCCAAATAACTTTTAGCAATAAAGAGCATATTTTATAGAGTACCAACTATGCATCATGAACTGCTTCTGAAATTGGGTCCAAGGGACTTGCATAAATTAAGTATTCATTCCTCTGTCATATCTTCATCTCCTGATTATCCACTGTAAATTTATATCCAAAAAGTTATATTACTCTTAAACACTCTATGGTTCTTCTAAGTTCTTTAAATCATCATCAAAATCTAATGTGCCCTGAGAAAATAAAAAAATTATTTGGCTACCTATTACAATCATTTTGTTTGTGGTGGCATGAATATGAACAATTGCAATGCAGTCTAAAAGCTGACTAGAAATGATTTCATGTATTATCTGCTAGTATGGATTTTTGGGGAGCACTACTCTACTTTATTAGAAATTATCTCCACTCATCTTGCCTAAGTTATTACACATTCTAAATAAGTTACTATATTGTGTGATACAGTTTGTCTTCTCTGTGTTAGAGTGGCAGTCCAGGAATTTAGCTTTGTTTTTGCAAAGATTAGTGAGACGTATCAATTTTGACCACACTGTATGGAAAATGAGTACTAATTGAGTCTTATGGTACTAGAGTCAGAGACAAGCACATATGTTGAAGTAGGACAAAATTCCCGATTTGTAAAATTCCTGCTCAATCTTGAATCCTGGCTCCTGAAGCCTAACCCAGATATCTTTAGCACAGCCTTCACTACAGATCAATTGCTGAATGCCTCCTATTGCATCTGAGATGTGTGTGCATTTATTAGTACCAATATTTAAAAGCTAAAAATTCATATAGTTTCTTAGCTAGTAATGATAATTTGCTTTTTAAAGTCCATCACCTCAGTTTTCATCTTACCTCATCCCTTATATTAAGTGTTCTTTGATATCAGGAACTTCATCAATAAGTCTATCAATAAATATATTAATACATATATATCAAGATAAATGCTGCTGATGTAAGAAACATTCAAATCTATAGAGATTTTTGTTTGTTTATTTGAGCCAAACAGACAATTGCCAGGAAGCAAAAATCACAATGGGTTGAGAAAATTCTCCGGAGAATGGCAGTTTTGCAGGTTATTTTACACATTAGAATCAAAGGAGGAGACGTAAGGAAGGTTACATGAAATCCATTGGTGATAGAATAAGTGGGTGGGAGAAAGCAAAGCAGGGAAACCTCTGGGGCTGGATGAAAAGACACATACTTCTTTTACATTGGTGGGTACAGGATAGTAAATAATTAACACTTACAGCCACAGAGAGATTATATTTGGGGGAACAATAACGATGAGGGGTTCCGTGGTCTCCTGCTCTGGTGTGGGTGACCTCAGGGGTCTGGAAGATTACTCTGACATCTCAAAGGTATGCCTTAGATACCAAAAGACAATACACAGGCTTACTTAAGGTAAAGACTGACCTTTGTCAAGGAAGCTACAGGCCTAGGATGTGACTACCCCCATGACCTGCTTTTAGTTAGAAATGTCTATGTTCAGACCATCCTATCTGGTTACTTGTGGTCTCTGAGTTTGTAGGGCCTGCCATGCAGGCCTCCCCTGAGCTGGTCAGGTTTTATGTATGGCCGCCTTTTCATCCACAGTTCCAACTTCAAACACTACCTTGGAAATATTGTGGATTTCCATATCTGCAGAGTACTTCATTAGTGATTTCTTGCTCCCAGAATCTACCACCTCTGTATTTTTGAGTGAACGCTAGAACATTGTGGTGTGTGTGTGTGTGTGCACGCGCATGCATGTGTGTTTGAAAATTTGATTTATAATTGATGACAGTGATATAATTTTTGAAACTGCTATTTCCAGGTACTGTTCAAGGAGGAGATAAGTTCCAGATGGAAATGTCACAAGTGGGATTCAGCGCAGATTACTCTCCTCAAAATGTGTGTATATCCGATAACTTCCCGCCATGTTGTCATTATGTAGACTTAATGATTCTGGGCATGATAGCCTTATACATAAAATGGGAAAAACAGCCATCTAGTGATCAACAGTTCTGATTCCTAGTCATAGTCATTTAGTTTCTTTGTGCTGCTGATTTGCAATCCAAATAACAAAAGTTAATAATGCCTTCCCTTCCCCATTTCACAGGGATTTTGTATGGAAAAAAAAAATTGATAATATACAAGAAAGCCTTTGAGCGCTCCAGGGGACAGGCGCTATATTAATTCAAGGTATTATTGTAGGAATTTCCTTTGAATCAATTAATTACTGGAAAAGTTTGTTAAAAACACAGACACTTGTCATCGCTGTCATTGTTGAATTCTGAGTTGCCATAATATATCCTTTCTAAGAGCAGAGATAGAAAATAGTTGAAAAAAGTAAGGAATTAGGAAAGATGTGAAATGGGAAGTTTTCTTAGCTCAGCCAAACTCCATTCTTTCTCCTCAGAAGCATCCATCTCCCTGGCCTCTGATTCTAACTCTACTCAGGAATAGGAGCGGAGTAGTAAAAAGGCAAAGGGATAGGTGACACTAAGACATACTCAGGGACAAATGTGAACTCGGAGGACTTGAGCAGCACAACAAAGGACAAGACACAGCTTACTTTCTCTCTAGAATTAAAGGTGCTAACTTTTTCTGGATCATCAATCATCAGAGATGTCCATAAAAGTTATCGGTCTTTCCCTCAAAAAAAAAGGAAACCCACACAGAGAGAATTTTGCACATAATTTCCTGAGGTTTTGGTACCCTTCCTGAAGCCCCTTGCTGCACCCCAGATTCAGAGTCCTCGATTTATGACAATTATTTCCATAATTTCAAGGCCTCTTATTCTCAAAAGGGAACACACCGTTTCCCAATTTGCAATTTTTTAATGGCTTGTACTTTTCAATCCAAAATTGTATCATTGATATCTTCTAACATCTAAGATCAAACATATTAAAATAATAAACCCCATCCTGACGAACCCTGCCTTGCGCGAGGCGTTATAGCTTTGAATGTTCAGATTGGGCTCTGAGTCATTCCAGAGTAAGTCATCTCCGTTGCCCGCCCCCCTTGCCGGTGCTGACCTATGGCTGTTTTCCTTACATTAGATCGAATGTCACAGCTACTGGTGTCTTTGGTAGCTGTGCTGTTTTGAAATAGGTGGGATAGGATAGAGTTGACAGAGGAACATTTGAGGAGGAGTCAAGGAGAATGAAGAAGAAAGTTGAAAATAGAAGGCCTGACATGGGTGGCATAGCAGCACCGCAGACCTCTCTTCCTTCCTGTGTCAGCAGCACTTCCTGTTACTCAAGCCTGCCTCAGACCCCACTGAATTTTTCTTAGGAATCTGCGACCGAGGCGCCCTTCTGACTCCTTTCTAAAGGCTCACAGCTAGTCAGCGTATTTGCAAATATGTGCCTTTGAATGGAAACTTGAAGATGGCTATGCGCTCCTCGTGACTACAGCTTATCACAAAGATTGATCTATGTAATTCATGTGTGGTACTGAATAAAGCTTGAGGTAGCACAAGCCACAGGAGCCTTGTTCTCCAGCACAAATATTAAAACAGTTTTGAGATATATCAACCTACATGCGTATAATTTTACTTCATCATGCTTAGTTGTTGTTTTTTCCTTAAATCTAGATGATTTATTTCGATGGTTTGCCTACCCTGCATTTTTATGCTTTAAAGGGTGGTTTGTTTTTAATGATCTTCATTTTTTCAATTATCTTAGGATATTCTGATGCTGGGTGCAGTAGGAGCTTATGACTGGAGTGGGACTGTTGTTCAGCAGACATCTCATGGGCATTTGATCTTTCCTGAACAAGCCTTTGAACAAATTCTGCAAGACAGAAATCACAGCTCATATTTAGGTAGGGCGTGGCAGCCTTCGGCTCAAAAAGTTTAAGTTCCCTTCCTTTAAACCAGCCCCTGGTTGAACCTCAGGACCAGTTCAGCACAGCCCTTAAACTGTCATCTATTTATTACGTTTGTGACACATATTTATGTTGCCTCTTTGCCAGTCAGGCCTTCACCCATAACTACTTACTGAAACACTATATTATACTCACTAATCTCTTCTGGCTGTCCAAGCAGTTGTTATTCCTGGGACATGATTGAGTTTCTCCAAAGTGGAAATAGCTCCTAAAAGCCAGTACAGTAAGTAGTGGTCTTATGTTAATTTAGAGTTCTTAGCCTTTTCGCTCCTATAATAAGCAGCCACCAATTTTGAGTACCTACTATGTGATGGGCTATTCTATCAATGTAAACATTTAAACCTTTCCAATAACCCTTTGTATCCCCATTATACCTTTGAGAGCCAATGAGGTTAATAATTTGCCTAAAGGTAAACAACTTAGTAAGTGGCAAATCCAGAATTTGAACCTGGAACTGTCTGACTCTAAAGTCTATGTTCTTTCCACTGTGCAATATTGCTTTTTAAATTCATTTAGCTACTCATGAAAGAAATATTTGTTTAGTGCCAGGTTCATGAGTGGCTGATGGGGACAGCCCAGAATCGAGGGTCAGCTTTATAGGTAGATGTCCACCTATGCAGGACAGAGGGCAGAAGCAGTTCACCCTGGAAAAAGGAAGACGTGCCCATGATAATACGCTCAGGACACTAGGAAGTGTGCATCACACCTAATAAGAAAGGACCTCTGATCACCTCTACTAACTCTGCAGGCCTATCTGGCTGAGATATTCAATGGTACCTACTCTGTAACTCCTTCTCTCTAGGTTATTCTGTGGCTGCAATTTCTACTGGAAAAAGCATCCACTTTGTTGCTGGCGCTCCTCGGGCAAATTATACTGGCCAGATAGTGCTGTATAGTGTCAATGAGAACGGCAATGTCACAGTTATTCAGGCTCACAGAGGTGACCAGGTAAAGTTCATTGTTTAGCAGGTGAAATTAATTTTAAGGACAACTTGGGCAGGTGGGGAGTGGGAAATTGGTAGAAATGAAAACTACCATTTATTGACTGCCTACCCTGTGGCTGGCTCTGTAATCTGCATTTACTTGAATATTTCTTAAATCTTTACAACAATACTGAGAACTACCATCTCCTTTTGACAGGTTACTGGGAGATTAACTACCTTTCTAAGGTCACTTAGTTTTCATGGGGTTGAACTGTCATGAAAACCCATTCCTGGGTGGCCGCAAAGCCTGTGTTGTTTGGCTAGTTCCCGCTCCATATTTTTGACTCCCCAGATTAATAATGCATGGGCGTTACTTAGTCATGATGACAGGGACCTAAGAAGAAGGGACAGGATAGCATGACAAAGGTTGAGCTCCCACCTGGGCCTGTCAATGTGTCCTAATGCTTTGACCTTTCTAGAAATAAAGCAACTCTCTTCTTTGCCATTTTCTTCTCATGTGTGACAGTTTTGTAGTCAGAAGTTATCACGCCTCTTAGTCATGGTCCACTAGAGCGCAGGCCAGCTGATAGACGCCAGTTTGCTTACTAAGCAGTTTTGACCCTTGGGCTTGACACTTATTTGAAATGAGCATCATGGGTCTCCCAACAACCAATGGAAATTTTTCTTCCTTGAGTATCTACAGATTTCTCTTCTCTGGGACTAAGTCTGAGCCCACAGTCTCTGGATTTTCCAGGGGTAAGAGGCCCTGAGTCTTCGACTTACTTGACCAAAAACCAGCTATGGTCACATGCTTTTCCCTCCTTTTTAATGTTTTAAAGAAGGGTGCTTTCATTTTTTATTTATTTATTTATTTATTTTTGTTAGCTGAGCCATCCTGCCACCTGTTGGCAGCTCAGCAGCTGCTCAGCTCGGGCCGGAACTCGAACCACTGTTGCTCAGAGCTCGTACTCTTGAGTGAGCTCTTAACCAACTGAGCCACTCGGCCGGCCCAGGGTGCTTTTATTTTGAGAAGGAATAATTTCTTATTCATTTTCAAATCCTTAAGAGATATTCACAGAGGCTCACCTTGAACATTGGTTGAATGGGATGAACACACAGATTCCCAGGTTCCCAGCATCTCTTATTTCACTTCATCTCCACCTAGTCCTCACGTCCCAGTCATCCCGCAATTACTGACTGACCCAGACCATGCCATGGCCACCTACATCACTCATGTTTTCCCACACCTCTTCACCTAGAACACTTGTCAATTCAAGTAATACTTAATCTTTCTAAGCCATCTCGACTCCCCTGCACTCTGATTACACAGCATTTGGCACTTGCCTCTATTATATTTTACCAGGGACCCACAATTATTTGTTCCACTCCCCTCTTGCCCTCCCCACTTACTCTTTAACACACCCTATACACCTTCTAAGTGTTTCTCTTTTAAATGTGGTCTTTGACCCACCAGCATCAGGGACACCTGGAGTGTTTATTTAAATATTGTTTTCTGGATAACATCCTAGGCATTGCATGAGAATCTCTGGAAATGGGTTTTAGGAATCTGTATTTTAAAGATACTTTCTTGGCGATTTATATGCACCTTAAAGTTTAAGAGCCTTAGATGGTGATACAGCCTTCAGAGAAGGGACCATGTGATCCATCTTTATGTTCCTAGCACTTTGCAAGTAGTAAACACATGCTTTGTTTGTTGAATGAGTAAATAAAAGTTCAGTGTAATAGCAGGAGGATGTGAATCCTAGGAACCCTAAAGTTAATATGCTTTATTACCCCAGATTGGCTCCTATTTTGGTAGTGTGCTGTGTGCAGTTGATGTGGATGAAGACACCATTACAGATGTGCTCTTGGTAGGTGCACCAATGTACATGAATGACCTAAAGAAAGAGGAAGGAAGAGTCTACCTGTTTACTATCACAAAGGTAAAAAAGATTGATTACACTGACTGTTTAATTGGCTTTAGTTTTGGTAAATGAAAAGTTAGTCTCCTTTGCAGAATAAAGAAAATTTATTAATAGCATAATAATGATCGTTTTCATATAGAGTATGGTTGATATTTCATCATTTTGAGGATTTCACCACTAAGTTATAATTTTTAAAAATCATAACCTAGAGCTTAATATATAGTGCACTGTCATTTTCAATGAGAGGTCTTTGAATATGTATTCTCTTACACAAATAAAGCTGTTACAAATTCACATCATTTTTTAAACACACACACACACACACACACACGTATTTCCTAAGTCTCTTATCCAATTATTTTTCTTTGCTGTCAAGGGATAACAATAACAGGTCAAAACTATCTTGTTAACATTTTACAGGGAAAAGGACAAATTGTACCAGGCACCTTGGAAACCTCCATATAATCCTGGATGCTTTCTGCATTAGTTTGTCAGGAAATTCCATTGCTTAGTGTAACATTTAGGTATATATCCAACTCTTGGAATTTCTAGTCTTTGCACATAAAACTTAGCATATTCTAACATGGAAAACACAGTTTTTCCAACTTGTAGACTGAACTCTCTAAATCCATGCACATAAATATAGTGACAGAAAATTAGATGACTATAGAAGGGAAAGAATGGAAAATGAGAAGCTGATATTAATATAGTAAATATTATGTTTAACTATTGTGATATTTTGTCCTACCTTATTTATTTAAATTAATGTAAAAATTAGTTCTTGAACAGAAGCAATTAAAACAATTCTAATGCATTTAAAGAATGTATAATTGAACATTCAGTAAGGGAAGGGCAGATCTACTTGTCTGAAAATTTAACAAATCCCAGTTTCTTAAATGTTTCTTGCTTATCAACTATTCTGAATTATCATTAATGGCTGAAGGTGAGAAGATCTCCTAATACTTTATCAAACTTAGTAACAAATTGGTTTCTAGAAGGTTATATAGAGGAGAGAGAATCAACACTGACCCAGTTTTATGGTTGAGGAACATATTTTCCTTGTGAAGTCATGAAATATTTCCATCCTTAATTTCAGAATCTAAAACAATTGTGTCTTTTCAAGGAAATTTGTTTGGGTGGAACTATTCAGTGTTTCTTATAATGGGATATTAACAATCTCATTTTTCACTCCCTATACCATTATAATTATGCCACTGTTCAGTAATTTTTAAGTAAAGGCCTAAATTAAGATATTGTATTTTATTTTCTCTCTACCTTAATTTTATTCAAGATATTAGTAGATTTTCACCAGAAAAATTTTAAATCAGAGGTTTAGAAACAGGTGAAGATACTAATATTGGAGAAAAACGGAGACAAAGGAATGGATACTTTTATACAGGTTGTGTAGCTACAGTAACAGAATTGCCTCCTTTTACCATCGTTTATGAGCAGATACTCTAGGGCCTTACTAAAAATTTTATTTATAATTCTCATCGTAATTAGAGAATTTTGAATTCTAGGTTTACAACCCTATCTATATTTCTAGAATTAACAGTTTGCAAACTGGCTTGGGCATCATTTGCTTTGAATTTTAATTATAAAAGTTGTAAAGTTTGCTTTAATCATCCCCCTTTTTTTAAATCCCTTTTGCAAGGGCATTTTGAATTGGCACAAATTTCTCGAAGGCCCAAAGGGCGTTGAAAATGCTCGGTTTGGTTCAGCGATTGCAGCTCTCTCAGACATCAACATGGATGGCTTTAATGATGTGATAGTTGGTTCACCTTTGGAAAATCAGAACTCCGGAGCTGTTTACATCTACAATGGCCAGGAGGGTACCATCCGTACAAAGTATTCCCAGGTAATCCGTGAGTGTCATAGTGATGAATCTACATGTGAGTGGCATCATGTTAGAGCTAGAGACTATCACGCGGACCATCCAGTCCATCCTTCTTTTTATAACTTTATTCACTCATTCAGTAAATATTTACTGCTACTGTGTGTCAAGCACTGTTATAGACACTGGGGATGCTGTAAAGAACAGGACAGACAAAACTGCTCTTCGTGGCTCTTACATCCTTGTGTAAGAGACAGAGGAAAAATATGATAAATAAAATAAAGTGTTCCAGGTAGTAATACACGATAAAAAATAGGCAATAAATTGTCAGGGATAGGAGGGACCAGGTATTTGACAGGGTGACCAAGAAGACCTCACTGAGAAGGCAGCTTCTGAGTCAAGACCTGATGGCAGTGAGGTAGGAGAGGAATCAGCTCTGGAACTTGCATCACCTCCTTCCCGGTCCACTGATCTTTCACTGCTTCATGCTGGTTTGTGATTTTATGTTAAGAGTAATGCTGTTACTTTGATGAAAATGTGGCTGCAAGAATGATAAACAGATTAGATAAGATGTGATTGAAAACTCAGTGGCATTTTGTGAAGAACAAAGCAACCTGGGAAATGACTATGTAGAGAATGTAACAATGCCATGTAGAAGCTGCCCTTTTTCCGTTTCAGTTGTTATGTGCTATAATTTCTTGTCCAACTTGCTTTTTCAGAAAATCTTGGGATCCGATGGAGCCTTTAGGAGCCATCTCCAGTACTTTGGGAGATCCCTGGATGGCTTTCGAGATTTAAATGGAGATTCCATCACAGATGTGTCCATTGGTGCCTTTGGACATGTTGTTCAGCTCTGGTGAGTCAGTGAGAGCCAGACAGACACAAAGTAGCTAACTGAAAACTGACCTGCTAAGTAGAGCACATTGCTGTGCTGGTTATTGTGGAAATGCCACATGCATTATATGAGTGAGACTCTAGGACACTTGTGTGGCATGGTTCGCATAAGGGAAGGACTATGTTTTCCCTGGTGGGAGAAAAAAATATTTGCTTAACATTAGAACCAAGTTTCTCATCTCTATGCGGTGAGCAGAAGTGCATTGAAAAGACAAAGCCCTTTAATGGTATCTGGGACGTTTTAGAATACTGTCTTCCAAATAGCCTTAGCTCAGCTCACAGAAAGGAAGCCTCATGAGAACACCCTAAAAATACTGAGCACTCAGACCACACAAGTCAAATCCAACATCTCGTGTGGTTAAAGATATCTTTTAGAATTACTCATAAACAAGAAGCCATTCTTTAGGTTTCGCTGACCTCTCACTGACCTCAGTAGGAGTTGAAGAGCAGGGGCCTGAGGGTGGGGAACAAAAAGGGATTCAAGGACCACGTGATTCAAGGGCTAAAATAAATATATCGGGCTGGTGTGGGAACAGAATCAGAAAGAAAGTGAGATTTTGATCATGAGTCCCCAAGAAAATATAGGTCAGCATTCATTTGTTTCTGTTGAAAAATGTGCTTTAAATGTCAGATACATCAAGAATAGAAAAACATTACATATTGATGCTGTGTTGTTTTTGAGTTTAATGATACTATTTACAGCATCTCACTTGTGCTTTTAAAGGATGAAATACCCTGTTGTTAGTGCATTATTTTAATGAATCTTTGTGTGAAAAAAATAAAACTCAAGGATAATATTTAAGACTTTAAAAGATAAGAAAATATATTTATTGAATAAAATCAGTTAAGAGTAGCATACCATTAGAAAAATACAAGGTGTTATATACCTTCAACTAAGAATAAAAAAAATAAAATTAAATTAAAAATTAAAAAAAAGAAAAATACAAGGTGTGATGATAACATAATTATATGACTGATTTTTAAACAATAAGAAATCACACCTTTCAGTGAATGAAGGCCATCCTGCAGCCATCTTGGTAGGCTTCTTCCTTGGTAGGCTGCATTCCTACTATACTGTAGCATTCTTTTTAATATAGTCAGTGATAGCCAAACTTTTTTCTTTAAAGGTGGATTTGATTCTTCAAAGAAGTCAAGACACATGAAATCAAATGAAATTATCAAGGTTCAGTCAAGTTAGGTTAAGGCCATTTTGTGGTCACATTCCTATAAGGTGCTGAAACTGGTTTGTTTGTTTTTTTGGTGATTTCCTGAGAATAATTTAAAAAAAAAAACAAATTTACAAAATAATTTAAATCAATTCTACCTCTGTTGGGATCACTGCTCAACTTCTCAAAGAGATTGACTTACAGAAAACTTTCACTTAGACATTATAGATCCTGTAAATTGGAGGACGTGTTGCATTTGTTATAAGATGTTTTATAACTGCTTATCAAGGGACCTGATAGATTCATGATTAACTATCAAAATAATTTTTCAATGGACCCAAATCCTGAAATTAAAAGAAAATGTTTTCTATGTCTTCTTGTGGTACTTTTCAACACAGGTTAATTATTCATTACTACTTGATGCTTTGTAACTAGTTAAGGGTGTACACAAGGGCTCATAGTGATGAAGTACAAATTCCACCGGCCAAGGAATTAGACCATGGGCTCCAATCTCTCACTTGCTAGTAACTATTACTCAGTGCACTGGTGAGTTACCAAATGTCTCTGTGTCTCAGACTTTTCCATTAATAAAATGGAGATACTATTTGTTCTACCCCTTTTCACAGTAGTATTGTAGCAGCAAATGAGACCATGTGTATGGGAAAGCCCTTCAGATATCTAAAGGGCTAAGCTAGAGGCAGAAGTCTGTCGCACCCTGCCTGAGATAGACTCCTCAGCCATATTCTGGCATCAGGCTAATTGTCACCATCATGGTCTTAGCCACACTTCAATGAATCATTGCCAGTCACTGAGGCAACAAGGAAAAACCCACGACTGCTCCTCAGCCCTGCCACCCCTACCTTGTCACCTGCTCTCACCCCTGCCTTTATAAGAGTGACTATCACTGCTTCCAACTGGCAACACACAGCAGAGACCATGGCTTTGTACTTCACCTGCAAAGAGGTTACCAACTCGCATCCTATGCTCATGCGTGTGGTCAATAAACAAAAAATATTAAGTGTGAATTATACTGATAATACAATCACAAACAAAAACCATTATCCCTGCCTTTAACCATCTTACAGCTTTCAAATATAAAACACTGCTAAAGGGCTTAGACAGAGAGTAGAGAGAATAATTAGATAATGCTGGCACTGGGTTCCCTATGTAAAGGTTATATGTGCACTCAGCAATATGTCACTCTGTTTCCATTTATGTCTTTCAGGTCACAAAGTATTGCTAATGTATCTGTAGAGGCTTCATTCACACCAGAAAAAATCACTTTGTTCAACAAGAATGCTGAGATAAGCCTCAAACTCTGCTTCAGTGCCAAGTTTAGACCTACTAAGCAAAACAGTCAAGTGGGTGAGTAGACCTGAAATAATCTGTATGGAAATAGATTTCCTTATAGAACTTTAATCCTAAATATAACCTATACATTGAGTTTGTAGACCAAAACAAACAAGGGTCTTAACTTGCAGACATTTAAATTCCCATACATTTGAGGTTCCTGAGAATGGTTAATTAGGCATGGAAGGTTTGTTTAGACCTTCCTCTTCATCTCTAGAAGGTGATATTCTAGAGTTGTAATCTCTATGACACAATTGTGGGCTCTCTCAACTCTATCCTTCAAGTCTCTCTTACTCACAGGTCCCTTACTGAAAACCTTGGGCACACAGATTATGCTGGACTACAGCCCGTATTACAGAAGACCTCTGTATGTTGGCTCTGTCATGATCTAAGGCAGTGTGCTCAGTACAAGTACCAAATATTGTTCCTATTCTTGAGGAATTAATAAGCATGAGATAATGAGAAAATATAAAACACTATTATGACTTATGCCCAGTGTTTTCAATTTTCTAAATAATCCAGAGAAGTGACTAAAAGTCTGAGACATGTTCTATCAGCAAGAGACGATGAGGAAAACTGGGCAAGTGTCAACAGGAATTGTCACCGTCTCTCTCCTGGTCCAGCCATGTCGTCTTTCAGGGCTGGGATGAGGTCCTGCGCCCTCTCTCAAGTTTTTATAACCGCTCCATCTGCCCTTCAACTCTCCTGCTCCAGTTGTGTCCGCACCCTCCACACATAGCAATTGACTGAGCACTTGATGAAACTCTACCTTCTTTCATTGGCTGCTGTTTCATTGGTCCTAATCCCCCTGTATCAGCTTTTGACTCTAAACTTTAGAAACCTGTAGCTCCTGCATGTATGTCATTAAGTGGTACACAAACTTAAAGACTAGAACTATAGAAGCAGGCTATTTGTCACAATTCATACCAAGAAATAAACAGATTACGAACACAAAGCAGAAGTTAGGTTCATATCTTGGCACACTTTCCATATTTTCGTACTTTTCTTATCTCTCTGGCCTTTTTTCCCTTCAGGTGCTCAATCACTGACCCAACCCTAAGTAACACATCTCACAGACCTGCCTATAGCACATCCATCTGAGTAGCCATGATAGTTGAGTCAAAAACCATTACTGTGTAATCATTAAGTGGCGAGATATAATGTACAGTACGGTGACTATAGTTAACAATACTGTATTTATTTTATATATTGAAAGTTGGCTGAAAGAGTAGATTTTAAAAGTTCTCACAACAAAAACAGTTGTAACTGTGAGGTGATTGATGTGTTAACTAACCTTATTGTGGTAAACATTTATATGTATATTTTTTTTTACTGTACTTTATACCTTAAACATAAACAATGTTATCTGTCAATGATATTTCAGTAAAGCTGGGGAAAAAATATGAAGTGGCTAGTCTGCCTAAAAGATTAATTTGGAGAACATATTAGCCGACAGGGATGGCTTACGGATCACCTCTCCTGGCGCTGAAGCGTGGATTTGGCTCATGTATCTTCCTTCCACTTTTTGACTGTACTTAACCCCTTTTGTTGCCACACACTTGGAAGAGAATTTCTGCTTTCAGAGAATTTCCTCCCCTTCTACTTGCTGTCTAGGGTCTCCAGGTCCTGCTATTGGGCACCCTTCTCTTTCAATCCTTTTCCTTGATGCCTTCAGGTCCATAGAGACAAGCCAGTCACGATCATCTGTTCCTTAATTGCTTGGCTGGCAATAATAGTATGTAAGACATGAATTCCATCTTCATAACTTTGAAAAGTGAATTTATAAAGCATATGGTCTCTATTATTTATTGTAGCAGGGGCTCACTCCAGTTTAAATTTAACAACATAAAAAATTAGTATATTGCCTGTGAGACTATTTATCATTTTTACCAAGCTGCTTGAAAAAAGTAACACAGTATTATCATGTGTACTAACTTTGCCCTAGCTATGATTATCTCCCTATTATTATTTTTCCTTTGCATTATTTTTACCACTTATTTTTATTTCATTTGATTCTGTTATATTTTATCTATCATTATTTACCTCCTATGTCATTGGAGCAAGAAAAATTATACAATACCTCTAATAGATATTTCAAAGGTAACATGTGGAATTAATGTTTTCGGAAGTCTATTCAATCTTTAAAATATTGAAAGTAATAAAATAAGATAGAGTAACCCCATATCATGCCGTCGGTGCTCTGGAGAGTATCAGATCTCTCTCAAGTTTGGACATGCAGTCAGCAGACTATAGTTGAAGATTCTGATAGTTTGGACATTGGGTACTGATGTCAGTTTTTATCACATTTGCTTTTCATTTCCATTTCCCTCAATTTTATAGATGAGGAAATGGAGGTCCAAAGAGGTTTAACAAATTGCTTGCATCATACAGCTCATAAACGACGGAATTAAGATTCAAACCAAGTGTGTCTGATTAAGAACTTATTACTGTAGTGTTGCATGCCTTTCTCCATGTAAGCATCTAGACAGCGGTTCTCAACCTGTGGGTCGTGACCCCTTTGGGGTCTAACGACCCTTTCACAGGGGTCGCCTAAGACCATAGGAAAACAAAAAGATATTTACATTACGATTCATAACAGTAGCAAAATTACAGTGATAGAGTAGCAACGAAAATAATTTTATGGTTGGGGGTCACCACAACATGAGGAACTGTATTAAGGGGTCGCGGCATTAGGAAGGTTGAGAAACGCTGATCTAGAATATGTCAGGAACCACACATGTCCCCTTGGGAGATCTCAATCAATCCTCAAATCACAGTTTTCCTCACAACTGCATAGCAACAGCAAAAACATGGGGTACGATTTCAAAATTACCCAGATTTTATTTCTGACCATGCCCTAGTTGTGTGAACTAAAGTGAATTATTTTACCTCTTTTATTTTGTTCATTATCTGAAAAATAAGATCATAATATCTACTTTCCAGGTTTAATGTAACACTTGTAAGAGGTAACATAGAAGAATGTGTTCAATCGTAGGCACTCAGTAACTGTTCCTTTCCTTTTGTATTACCCTGTTATGGATGATGTCTGGAAAATGATGTTTGCGGGAGTAATTTGACCAACTTCATTCAGATTTCCCAGTGGCAAGTCCACTTTTCTTTCCACTGCTTCAAGCCACATTTCTTTAAATCACATTTCTTTGTATCCACAGTCACATATATCATACCAGAGCTAGAATTACAAATGTCATGGACTAGCCATGATTCACAATTCTCAATTTAAAGACCATTTTATATTTTCTCGAAGTCAGAAACTTGATCCAATAAGACACAATGAAGCAGGGATGCTTTTGCCTTAAAAAAATGTTTTTGTAATAACATTTCTTTATGATTTTTATCATAGCCATTATATATAACATCACAATTGATGCAGACCTACATTCATCCAGAGTAACATCCAGGGGGTTATTTAAAGAAAATAATGAAAGGTACCTGCAGAAGAATATGATAGTAAATCAAGCACAGAGTTGCTCTGAGTTCATCATCCACATACAGGTGAGGCCTCAGAGTCATCCCTTTTCCTCTCATTTCTTCTTAAAGACTAATGAATGAGGAAAATCTAAAATGAAAACTTTGGAGTTAGAATACACCTGTCCTTCTAATTAAAAGCTTTTCTAATTCTATGAACAGGAAGCACATTTCCTTTATGCTAATATATGGTCACATTTTATTATTAATAAGTTAGTAGCATTAACTTTTATTTGGGATTGCAACTAAAATGGATACATATAAAATTCTTAAAGAAATCAAAGATACAGTGCTTTATTAAGTGTTTAACAGGGAGAACTTTTAGGTGATAGTAAATTTTATTTTGACATTTTCCTATCATGGAAAAATTTTATTCACTTCTAAGCTACTGAAAAGGACACTTCCAATTGTGTTTTCCACTATTGGATTAAAATTAATATAAGTGAAGGATGTTAGATTATGAGGTAAAAATTACGGGCTCTAATCTTATGCCATAATTACTATAGTTCAAATGGATTTTGAAAGTCTCCCAAGTAGGAAAAGTGCTCTTAGTAGAAAACTTCCAATAGGAAATTCATTTTACAAATTATATGAATATTTCCCCCTAGAAATCACATAATGATTTTTTAAAGTATAATTTACTCAGGAAACCATTTTTAAAAGCTGTTTAAGAACTTTTCTAGAATATGGTTCTTAGAGTTTAAGATGCATAAGAATTACCAAGGAAACTTTCACAAAATGCATATTCTGGGACCCACCACCAGAAATTTGGGGGTTGGAATGTCATCCCCATATATTTCTTATATAGATGGATGGTGCAGAGACCACATCTCAAGAAACATTAAGTATAAGGGTTAAGTGGATGCTTAGATGAATTAAAATCAGTTGAGTTGTTTACTGTTCAAGTTGAAGGTTTCTTATTTGTGAAGGCCAGGACTTGTTCTGTTGTTAAGGGCCCATTATACAGATTATTTAAAGGGATAAAAGCTGGTTTCCATTCTCTCCTTTCCTTGAGCAAAGTGGTAGATCAAATTAAATATGTAATCCATTGTGGGGAATGAAGACAGCTAGGCTGTTGTTTGTATACAGATCCTGTTCACTCTCGTGTGCACTTGTGAAGTGTTTAGACGGCATGTGTTCTTCTGCTCAGCTAAGAGACATTTCAGTTAACACACCCTATTTGATATCAATACCAAAGTCCATCCCACGTGCCAACCCTGCAGCCAGCTGAGGAAGCATTGCTTTGGAGTCGGGAAGCCGTCCTAGTAGTCAGGCCCCCCCAAAAGGGCTCAAGGCAATAGTTAAGTCCCACCTGTGAATGCACTAAATGATAACAGAAATATCACTTCTCAGGAAAAGGCAAATTCAATTTTTAGTGTTCATCATTTGTACATTGTTCTTTCCTGACAAGACCTGGGAAGATGTCTGTGCGAGGACGGCTAGATGACACTTGCAACCCTGTTTTGGCATTTTTACATTTTTCATTCGACAGGAAGACTCAAAAACAAAGTGGCCCATGACTCCTAGAACACTGCAAACGCTCCCCTTCTATACTAAACGCAGAGTGGAGGGGTAGTACTTATAGCTGGGTAGCATCGGTTTCAAGGACTGCTGAGTGACATGTGCCTCATCTTCTACGTGCAGAAGCAGTGCAGCTTCTCAGTCAGCTAGAGCCAGAAGTTGGGGGAGTTGGTTGCAGATGTGGGCATCCCCTTTATCTGGTTTTGTAGAGAAGAGTTAGGTTCTGACTAAGGAAGGGAGACTCGTGTCCACTGCCTGACAGCCAGCGCTGAGTACCTTCCCTTCAAGGTCACAGTATTCCCTCCCGGAGACTTGGCCAGGATGCCTAAGGAGTCTAAGTCTTCAATAGAAATTGAAAGGACATAGCCAACAACCCAAGAGCTGGATACTGACATAAGGGCCTTCAGCGCATTAAAACTGGACACATCGTCTATTTATAATTGTGTGTAATTAATGAGATTACTGATGAGCTTAACTGGGGATTGCTGCTTCCGATATTTCCTAAACCCATGTCTTTGATTTTCTTAGTCATGAAGAAGCTAAGAGCAGAATTATAGGACAGAAGAGAAGCAGCAAGGGTCTTGAAAATTCAGAACAAGGATATTCTAAATAATTGAGAGTGGGCTGGGTTCTTTATTGTTCTGGTCATTGTCTTGTTTTAAAGCTGCCATGCCCTAATAAACTCGTGTGTGTGTGTGTGTGTGTGTGTGTGTGTGTGTGTGTGTTAGGAGCCTTCTGATGTTGTCAACGCCTTGGACCTGTGTGTGAACATCAGCCTGGCAAATCCTGGCACCAGCCCTGCCCTAGAAGCCTACGACGACACTGCCAAGATCTTCAGTGTAAGTATGGTTTGCCCTTCCTCGAATTCAGACCAGCTAACAGAGTTTCAGAGTCACTGCAGTTTAGTGTTTGAAAGATACTTAGGGCATAACCTTTGATATGTTAATTTTCTACAGGAAATAGAATTACTTATGTGTCAAGTTCACCAGCATGTAAGTTGCACGAAGGCTGAGATTTTTGTCTTCCTAGTTCACTGCTCTACTCCCAGCCCCATAAGCAGTGCTTGGCCCACCATAGGTGATCAATAAATATTTGTTGAAGAAATAAATAACAATAAAGCAAAACCCTTGGTCTCACCACCCAAATAAAATGTTACAAAGACCTACAAAGTTCCCTGTATCCCTTCCCAACCCCCATAGATCCTCATTTCTCTGGCTTCACCAGACATCAGCAACTTGAATTCTGTATTGATCAATGCTTTTCTTTCTGATGTTGCTACACACGTATATAGTCCTAAAACATTGTTCAGTTTGGCATGGTTCTCAACTTTATGTAAATACGGAATAATAGGGATTCTCCCACAATTTACTTTTTTAACTGAAGAGCAGATATCTGAGGCTGTTCTTCCTTTTTTGCAGATCCCTTTCTATAAAGACTGTGGTGATGATGGAGTTTGCATCTCTGATCTAGTTCTAGAGGTCCAACAGCTCCCAGCTGCTCAGTAAGTTTTACTTTAAAGCTCATTGTAAAATGCAGAAATAAAAAACACATTAGGTTATGCTATTCAAGTGAATGTTTATAGAGATTGTTTTCTACAAAAGAAATATCCATAAGTAACAAAGATCTTTAAAATCTAAATTTTAATTTCTACCATCCATATAAGAGTGAAACAATAAGAAATATAAAACCATTTGTATTTGGATTGTTCCTTTCCCTGTCATGTAATTAAAGAAGAGAACCCAACAGCATTTACTTATTTCTTGTATCACTTTACAATGAAGATAGTTTATTATTAAGGAGTTTTCTCAGTATTCCAAATAAATCTAAAGAGTTTGTTTGTTTTTTTTAATTAGTGAAGTATTTGAATACTGGTCCTCTTTTTCCCCTTACTTTTTTTTCCTTTTCTCCTTTTTTAACAGAGCACAACCCTTTATTGTCAGCAACCAAAACAAAAGGATAACATTTTCAGTAACACTGAAAAACAAAAAGGAAAGTGCATACAACACTGCACTTGTTGTTGATTTTTCAGAAAATTTGTTTTTTGCTTCCTGGTCCATGCCGGTATGTGATGACATCCTGGGCTTTCTGCTGTTGTGTTTCCTACTCGTTGTCAATTACCGTCTTCCTTATGCTCAAACCTCCCTGTCCTCTGTGTTGTCTGAAGAAGCCCTTTAACCATAATCAGCATGATAAGTCCTACTTTGTGGCTCCCAACTAGTTAAACCACATGAGAACATAGCCTGGCTGTCTGTATGGAGGCCAATTCTGCTTCAAAGTTCAGGTCAGTTTTTCCTTTGCCCCGAGACTTGGCAGCAGTGGCCAGATGCTCGCGTAACTCCTCTTAGCCGTCTGTGTGATGAGGCTGCCATGGTGCCGCACAGATGCTCCGAGCGGCACTTGCTCTGAGAAATTAGAGTCCCACAGCTCAGCCACAAGTCTTACTGCTGCCAAGATGACGCATTCCAGCGAGGTCAGTTAATCATATTGACTTGATCGCTATACCAGGAGCACACTTGACCATGAATGCCCCCTGGTCCCTCCTCAGGCACTAGCAATGAAAAGCAGAGGAGGGGAAAGCTGAGATTTTCCAAATTAGCTCCCTAATTGATGCAAGAATTCAAATATGGTTTCATCCAGTTGAAAGTCAATGTGAATTTACTAGGTTTAGTGTTCTAAGCCTTTTCTGACTTCAGTGTTTAACTTTCCTGTGCAAAATAACTTGTTAAAGAGAAAAGAAAAAAAAAAACACAGAGGAAAACTAAAAAACATTCTTTAAATTATTTAAAATATAAATAAACGCCAACATAGGATTTTGTTTTCTTCTCATGAAACTACAAATTGTAAATATATTCAGAGAAAGGTATGTATTCAAGACAGCATTTCTGTCTATTGGATGAAAGTTACTTTGTGCTTCTGAAATAGAGGAGCTATGATTTGCTTTTGGGTAAAAATTTGAGTACTTGACCTCTCCTTTGATTTGTTGGGTGTCCTGCTTAGCAACGAAAATAGTAGATTAGCCACCAGGACAAAACACAATTCTCAGATCTTGAGGGACAATAAATTACTTCAGTGTGAACCACCCTTACAGCTAACATGACCATGTGGTTACTTCAGCATGGATTGCAAGCACACACACGTTATATACTAATTGATCACTGTTTCCTTGGTCTTGTTCAGGTTGATGGGACAGAAGTAACATGCCAGGTTACTTCTCAGAAGTCTGTTGCCTGCGACGTAGGCTACCCAGCTTTAAAGAGGGGACAACAGGTACCACTTGCATTTCATCCTCCGACCCCCTCTAGCCCCTCCTCAGCACTAGTGTTAATGCACCAACATACCCTCTCCTTTATTACGTATTGCCATTTGACAGGCATCACAGAATAACTGGCTGCATATTCAGAGGGGAAGTTTTAAACAACTGAATGTTTTAAGTTATTAATAAAAATGGTATTCCCCCCAGGCAGTTCATTCCAAAAGCCCATGTGATATGGAAATTTCTTTTTTTCTGAATACGTTGGCCAACACTGGTCAAAGTGCTGTACAGAGCCCCCAATACCAGTTGTTAATCCCTGCTAAGCCGATTTCACGCAGCACAGAGCTTTTGAATTCAGACGAGTATATGTTCTGTGATGTGATGACTTGTATATGTCGGTGGAAAGTGAAGCCCTTCTAATTCTCAATGTGAGGCATGCCAAAGCAAGGTGCAAATAAACAGATGTTCTACAAATCTGAAAGTGTAAGGTATATAAAATTCAGAATCCAACTGGAGTGAGTTGACATAAATGGGAAACTTTTTTTTTTCATGTTGGCCCCTGAGTATGAAGCACCATAGAGTGATGAATTTTCATTTTGTGTATAGGTGACTTTTATTATTAACTTCGACTTCAATCTTCAAAACCTTCAGAACCAGGCATCTGTCAGTTTCCAAGCCTCAAGGTAAAACATTAATGAAGTCATGAATGGATGATGGATGGCTTTTATAATATTTCTCTTTAAGTAATTTCCTAATGCTTGCTTCAACAGTGAAAGCCAGGAAGAAAACAAGGCAGATAATTTTGTCGAGGTCAAAATTCCTCTGCTGTATGACGCCGAAATTCACATAACAAGGTAGGTGAAACAGCGGGGCAGCCTGTGACCACCGAAATCACACTGGTTTTCACACATTTGACTCATGACTAAACAAGTCCTCTATATGCTCACTCTTAACTGGAGAAGTTGAATTCAAATGCTTTCCCCTTATCAACTAAAACAGAAGTCCAGGACAAACTGTTCCCTAGGGAACTTGAGCAACTCTGTAGATCTTTTGACCAAGAGCACCACCTGGAAGGCAGAGAAATAACCCTTCGGCCATGTGCCCTGGGGACACTGCCCTGCAGGCCCTCAGACAAGCTGCAAACCTTCCCAAGATGTCAAAGCAGAACACTTAAGGCCCTGAGAGTTGCCACCGCTTCCTTCTCCATGCCTCTTTCCTGCTGTCCATATGCGATCTCAAGCGATAGCCCCATTCCTGGACATGGAAGCCCCAAGCACAGTGCTTTGCACATAGTAGGTCCACCACAAATATTGAATCTAGTCCCCCAAAAATTGTTTCTAGGTGGAAAATTCCTTCCATAACAGATTAGGAGTTTCTTCCAACCAAGAGGAAATGAGGCATTTTGCAAAGCAGGTCATCCATGAAGAAATGCTTTATTCCCTTTGCTTGTCTGCCCAAAGCAAGTAAACCTGAGAGCACTGGCCTAAATGGTACTAGTTGACACCGGTTATGTTGATATGTTCAGAAAGACAGGTGTCCTGAGAAGTGGGTAGCAGGTGCTGCTCACCATAGGTGCTAACAGGTTGGTATCATCACCTTCATCCCCACTGAAAAGCGAAGTGGTCTCATCAACACAGACACACTGGGGCACAGTGACGCCAGCCAGTACAAAGGCCGCACATAATGTCCCCTCCATGCCTGGGAACCAGTTCTCTCGCTGGTGAGGCAGTAAGGCAGCTTCCCGGCACACATGAATGACCCCTGGACAACACACAGCAATGTATTCCCAAGAAGCCAGGCTGCCAAGTGGCCAGTGACAACAGCTTACTCTAACGCCCACCACATCACTCCAGCCCCTGAAAGCATGGAATATGGAGATCATCCAACAGATCAATGAGCAAAAACAAAAAGGAAAATATGTCAATTATGGCTAGAGTCTGAGACACATGAGCAAGGATGAAAAGAATGCTTCTGTATTGAGTGAGTTGCAAATAGCAAAAGCAGAAACAAAGTACAGTCCAAGCCTTCCATCCCTGAAAAGTCATCAGTAACTGCAGATTTCAAAGGACCCTCAGTAATAAGTAAGTGAAGACAAATGCAGCCAAAGAGATTGATAGTACCATATTGCCTTAATTTTGTTTTTCCTACCTATATTGATTCTTTCTCAGTCTAGATGCTTTTTCTTAATACAGCCTTTTTATGACTCCACTCTCCCACCATGGCCAATTTTTTTTCAGATATTTTAACATGAAATAAATGTAACATTGAAGTGAGGTTTCACTTTTACTAACTAACATCTTAGCTATGTATTTTATGATGGTAAATTGGACTCTTAAGACATTCTTTTAAAGAGATGTTCTTTAAAAAATATATATCATAGTTTAAAAATTAATATGGAGAATTATCAAGAATAAAGCTAAAGTGGCTCTTAACCCTACCGTCCAGATAATTCCTCTTGATGTTTTTTAAAAAGAAGATATGAAATGTACATGAATAGGAAATCCAAACATTACAGAAAGATCCACAATGGAAAATGAACTCATGCCTCCTCACCTCCTTTCGTCACAACAAAGATGACTAACTCAAGTGTTTTCAGAATACCCTCCAGATGTGGGTTTATCTATAAAGACATATGCATCACACACACACACATGCACATTTTATTTACCCAAATGGAATAATAAAACTTTCTGTACCTTATTTTTTATGTAATCCTAGAGAAATTCATATCAGGATATAAAGATCTAACTTGTCATATTCCTGGCTGGATCATAATTTATGTGACTGACTTAATATTAATGAGATATTTGGTTGTTTTGCATTTTTTATTGTGTTTTGTTTAACCATTACAAGCAATGCTGTAAAAACAAATTTTTTTAACCAACATCTGTGTAAGCTTTTTGAAAAAAGGTCCTACCCAATTATTGTGTATTGTATATCCCTTAGCAACCACTGCCCTACTACATAAATATGAAGTTATACTGTACAAATATCATGGGTGGAAATAGATGACAATAGGATTATTTTTAAAACAGGATCTCCCAAGTATTGTAACTGCTATTATAAATATATTGACTAATACTTAAGCAACTTGAGGGACACTTAAGTAACAAATGGAAAAATGTCAGATGTCTTTAAAAATGCAATCGTAGAACATATTAATGTACTTAAAAACAGGTTGTACTTAGGGGTTCATATGAAGATCTCCTGGAAGGCAAAGGGGTTAGGTAATTCATGCACAGACAGCTGGGCTTTCTGTTTCAAATCCTATTCGGCTTTCCCATTTTCCATGTAAAGCTAACAGATCTTTGTTTCCTCTCGTATATATAACCTTGACAAATATTACACCTATTTAAGTCTCCCTATGACGTATTTTCCTTTTGAGAATGTGAAAAAGTTTTTTTAATGAGGCATAAAAAAAGAGAAAGGCAAGATTTTCAGTAAAGAAATTTTTAAGATCTCAGAAAATGTGCAGTCCATTAATTTTTATTTTTTTTAGGAAATAGAGTAACATCCTATAATTAGGATGGATTTTTTCTGGTGGGAATAAATATCGCTTCTCAGACTCCTAGCCCTGCCACCTGCTCCCCACCCCCAACGAAGCTGCCCTGGTTGGAATCCAGTCTCAGAGCCCCAGAAATGGGTGAGAAGAAGGGAGGGTATCCAGTTCCATTCCAGTCCCAGTGACCCTGTTGGGGTTCCTCTGGCCTGGTCATCACTTCAATTGCAAACTCCCATTGGCAATCCCAAGCAAAGAGGTCACATCAGCCCAATGCCTCTAGGTCTAGTCTAATAAAACATCTGGGTCTCTCTCTACACTAGTGGTGGGAACAGACTGACCACCACAGTTCAGAGTCAAAGCATTAGTGTAAGTTTGGAACTAGAGAAGGAGAGGAAGAAGGAATAGTAAAGAAAAATGTAAGTCCTGTTTCGCAGGCATCCAGTAATGAGTTCTGCCAGAGCTAATGCCCAATGCCCCATCATTGTATTTCAGCCATACCAAGTGGAGAATCATCTAGCTTACAAATCCATTCATCCAATCAACAAGGACTAAGCATCCACCATATTAACACTCCAGTCAATATAAGAACAATTGAGAAGAAGTCCACTATCCGTTCTAAAGTAATACATGTGTACTTACTTTAGAAAGTTTACAACTGATAAAGATATAATGCAAAGATTCTTAGCAGAAAGATCATGAAGGGATAATGCTTTGAAAAGAATTTGTTTTCACCTTAGAAATATACACTGGCCCACAGAGCCGTTAATAAGTATTTGTTTTCAGTTAGAGTTTTTGTACCTAAATGTAAACTGTTTGGCTTGTAATTTAAGCTAGAAGATACTTAAATAAAAGAAATATTAAGTTTCGAGAAGGACAGAAACTAAAATATGTGGCTTTACAAACATCATCCAACAGATTTACCAACATAAACTTTTATGAAGTCTCTGCAAATGGGAATGTTCCTTCTATCGTGCACAGTTTTGAAGATATTGGTCCCCAGTTCATCTTCTCCATTAAGGTTGGTAAGCCTGTCGTAAGGATGGGAAATCAGGAGAGAGGGGAAAGAAAAAAACGAGGCCAGGAAGAGAAGTCAAAGGTAGTTGACATGCATGAGCGGTTCTCCAACTTGCACATGCATTCGAATCACCTGGAGACTTAAAAAAACACAGGTCACTGGGCTCCATCCCCAGGGTTTCTGATTCAGTATGTGTGGGGTCGCCCTAACAATGTGCATTTCTAGTAAGAAATGCCTAAAAGTGTGCGTTTCTAGTAAGGCGATGCTGCTGGACTAGCTGCCATACTTTGAGAATCAGTAAGATGGATCGTAGATAAGTAAACCTCTGGGCCTTGTGCATAGTTATGTGTCCTGGGTAAGGGATAATTGATAGATTTTGAAAGAAAATGTTCAACATGAATCAACAGAACATTAATATAATGGCATTACTGTGGACAAAAGTCTCTGGGATATAATCAGTATGCCCATTTATCCTTTGGAGACCACTTCTATTTAAGAAGCTTACGAAATGTATAGCAATCGCGTTTTGTACAGTCACACTAGGTAGTATCTAGAAATATTTTAAAGTCAATTTCTATTGTCTATTAGTATAAGCAATTATTGATGTAAAAATTGTTATATAAGGGGCAATTAATTTGTGAAAGTGTCTATTTTATAATATAACGTTACAGAAACTTTGGAAAGTAAAAAAAAAATTGATCCACTGCCCTGAGTCTATACAGGTTTTTTTGTTTTTTTGTTTTTTTCACATTTCCTACTCATCTGTTACATGGTTGCAACCCTGCACTTTGGTGATTAAAAAAAAAAAATCTTTAAGAGAGTCTTGATTTATAATCCAGATCCTGTAATTTATAAAATATGCATGGTATTTAGCAACTACTTCTTTAATGAAGCATTTAGTCAATTAGTAGTAACAAATAACATTCACAAAGAGTGTTGTGTCCGCCTTTGTGTCAAGGGCTTTGCCTATGTTGATCCATTTAGTCTCAGATCAGGTATGACGTGGGCAGAGTTATTATTCCTGTGGGTGTTATTTAAAATGTTTAACACCCAGCAGGGCATGAGGAGGCCAGTTGGAACAGACTCCCCGCCCATGAGAACAGATGCTATACCTGTGCACACCTACTGAGCTGCCGATTATCTTACAGATGAGAAAAACAAGCACAGGGAGGTCTGGTACACTACCCAAGCTACACTGTCCGTCAGGGGCAGAGAGGGACTTCACGTCCTGGCAGCCCAACTCCACAGATGGCAGATGTTTGTAACCATCTCCTAAGCCACAAATTACTTAACCAGTTAAAATTGTAGATGTTGAGATTTTTTCCAAGAGGGGAAACACAGGGACCCAATGTGTGACTATAAAGGACTCCCTCACTTCCTTATAGACTCAAGCCTACCCTTCACAGTTGCTCTTCATCAAGGCGGAGGTTATTAGGTCACTTTCTTTGTAACATGTGCATGATGTAGCGATAACCAGAATGTGTTCTTCCGTGCTATGAAGGTGACAACTGGAACTGTTCCCGTAAGCATGGCCTCCGTCATCATCCACATCCCTCAGTACTCCAAGGAAAAGAACCCACTGCTGTACCTGACTGGGATACACACAGATCAGGTACGGGCAAGCGAACTGCCTATAAAAATGAGCACTTTCAATATGGAAACACCCCCTGAGGTGGGGTGATCATGTCTGTCAATCGACAGATGGGAAACAGACTATAACCCTATGCCTCCTGGTTGCCGATTAACTAGCAGTCAATTTCCTATTAGAAACAGGATATTCTTATAAGAAAACGAATGTGAGTCAAGGGATTTACAAATGGCAGAAATGATCCGAAAGCCCCATCCTGCCCCAGTGAAGATCTGACCTTGTCAGAGCCTGTTCACAGAGTAGGTGACTAGGAAGTGAGAGGTTGAGCCCATGGCAGGAAGTTGGGCTGCACCGTCGCAATTAAAAGCTGGTCTTCAAGCTCTCGGCCTAGACTTTCGGCCTGTAAGTACTCAGCCCTGGCGGCTCACTCTAATTGCCACAGTCGCTCTTTTTAAGTAAGAGTGATGCCCAGGCCCTCCTCGGGCAGTTGAATCAAAATCTCTCTGGCTAAGCTCTAGCCCTGGTGTTTAATCTTTAAAAGCCCCCCGGGGGCTCTAACATGCAGCCTGATTGGAAGAGCATGGCTCTTGCCAAACCCCTTGGCATTGGCTCGGCTGTCTAGCCCTGACTTAGCTGGTTCTAATGTTAGTCCTGTGGTGTACATAGGTGACCACAGGAAGTCAAAATTCTACAGTGTTCCACAGGAGAGAACCCTGAATTGAATCACTCACAGCCTATCGTTATTGCAAATGTGTCTTCATCGCAGACGGGCTGTTAAGAACCAGTGCCATCCCATCAAGTCATGTCAGGAGCATTTGAATGCTACAGAGTTTCTATTAGTTATGACGTGAAGTGTGGCCAGGTCAGCACGGTGAAGGAAGCCTAACAGTCCCTACCCTGCCCCGACATGTGACAATAGGATTTCCTAACAGGTTGTAAGGAACTTCATAAAACTGTTTTGCTTCCTGAGACTGATTTGATGTCCTTTTTTTTGCAGGCTGGTGACATCAGTTGTAAGGCTGAAATAAATCCACTGAAAATAGGCCAAACATCTTCCTCTGTATCTTTCAAGAGTGAAAATTTCCGGCACATAAAAGAACTGGTGAGGACATGTTAACAGGGTGACAGTTTCCTTTGGCAACTGTGTGTTTTAGCTGGAAATCAAGGACCTTCTTTTCTCCTACCACCTCATATCACAGAACTTTCTTATTTTGTCTTTAGTGGCCAGTATGAAGCAAGATTTAGAATTACATGCTCAAATATGGGTTACTGGAATTATTATTTATGCCTTACAAAATACACGTTCCAGATTTCGTGAAATCAAAAGCACTCTGTAAAAATAACTGTTTTTGGGGTGTGCATTTTGGAAACATTGCCAAGCACTGTGAGGGGGCTGGGCGTGTGCTTGGGGGTGAAGCTCCTCCCCTCCCCTCCCACGTCATCACTGGCATCTTATTTAGCTGCTAAGATGTCTCTTTGGCCACCCTTCTCTGTTTCTCAGTATTTATTATCTCCTTGCTCCAGAGCTCTTTCTTTGGGAAAGAGACTAGCATCTAGCATGATGCTTACTTGGCACTTACTATTTAAATAACTAAACATTTAGCAAACAGTAAACCCACAGCTCTCCCCAATGAACAACACTGAAATTCTGCTTTCCTTTTATTGAAATTGTTTTATTTCATGATGGATGGAGGAAACAGGAAGATAGGAGAATGATGTAGTTGGGTTTTTTTTAAAGTAATTATTGTATCATTACAGTGTAAGTTGGTTTAAATCTAATATGTAAAAATGCCCAGCAGAAACTCATCTCAGGGTATGCCAAAATATAGCTCAGCGTTTTCCTTATTTTTGTGAAAATGTTTTGATTTTGTAAAAATGACAATTGCTAAATAGAAACCACATAAAACATGACAACACAACAAACTACAAAGAAGCTAAAGTTCTACAGAAATATAACAGCTGACCACTCTTTTAATTGTTCTAATTTTTTTAATTACAGTTGACATTCAATATTAATCCTCCATACCTCTCAGCATTAATCAGTATAGACCATATGTATACTGTAACATAAATGGCCCATGCTACTTTTTTACATTTTGAGGCACAATGCCAAAATCTCTGGGTGAACAGTTCTAACTACTAATAGTCCATGAGACTGCCTGTTTCCCTAGATCCTTCCCAGCACTGGGTTTTAGCTATCTTTGTACAATTTTAGCATTTATTTTTCAAAGCCCACACTAACCCTCTCTATACTCTTACTGTTGATCCCAAGAACTGCAAAACTGCTTCATGTGGAAATGTTACCTGCTGGCTCAAAGACCCTCAAGTGAAAGGAGAGTACTTCCTTAACGTGTCCACCAGAATTTGGAACGGGACTTTCGCAGCAGTAAGTATCAGCTTTATTTATTGGGTTTACCAACAAGGAATCATAAGGGTTTATTGTCAAGAGGTTCATACCCTTTCACAAAATTAGTATTCTGGCTGATGTCAGCAGTGCCCAAATAATCGAGAGCAATCTCACCCTGGAAAGCAGTGTGCTTCCGCCCCTTTGAAAAGCTTGCCCGGCCTGGCTGTGCCTCAGCATCACCTGGGGTGCTTGTAAAGCATCTGATGCTTAGACTCCACGTCAGCCCACTCCATCAGTCTCTGGGAAAGGTGTCAAGATCCCCTGTGCTGCCGCTGGGGTCCGAGGGGCCACCTGCTCTGTCTCCCTCCCCATGCTCTTCGCAGTTCTGACTTCGTCTCCTCCACCACCCCCAAATCCAAACACACAGGACCCTGTCTCCTTCCTTGAACTCCCAGCTCATTGTCTGATGGGTCTCAAACCACCCCGCAGATGAACCTGCCATAAGCATCCACCTTCCTATGTTAGAGCCAGGTAACCTCTCTGCTCCCGCTGGGCCCTGTCTCTGCTGAAAGCCCTGTGTGCATATACCTTTATAAGTCATCTCAATCTCATGAAAAGTGGAGAAAGTGCCAAAACAAGGTCAGTGTTTTTCCATTTGGCAGGTATAACAGTAGTGATATCTCCTTTCAGCAGATTTTGGTAGCCAAAATTTCAGTCTGGAATGAAAAATATAAGGACAGACAGGGCTCCTTACATCTGACTGCATAGTGGCTAGCTACTCCTGTCGCCAACACAGGCTCTGATGGAGGCAGCAGCAGAAGAGAAATCAGTCTGAAACCTCGGGAGGTGGGGGGAGGAGTGGTGGGGGAGGCTGTGGCTCTCTGGGGTTTTTTTTTTTTTAACGAATAAATCAGTCTGCAAGGTGCTTGCCAACTGGACTCTAATACCACTTTTCTAACTATTTCATGATCTCTCCAACAAACCCCATGCCTTGCTTTGCAGTTTTGTCTAAAGTTATAGAGAGCTAAGCTCCCCCTCAGAGCTCGTCCCGGGAGTCGAAATATAAGCAATACTCTTGGATAAAGACAGAACAGAAAGAGGAACAGTGAAAGATGGGGGGGAAATAGAGAAGGGGGGTGGAGGAGTGAGCGGGTGAGTTTTCTTCTTGCTTTCTTTTATTTTGTTTTCTCGTTAGCTGCATTTGCTTTCAAGCTCTCAGGACACCTAAATCCTGTAAGAGGCAAAGCCCGCCCTTTGTGACACCATCCTCCCAGCTGCTACAGCTCCGTGCTCAGTTTCACCAGCTGCTTCTTGGCCCCTTGGATTTGAGGAACAAATGTTTTCATAGCAAACTCTGCCAGCTGGGAAGGAAAACTGACGGTGGCAAATCCAAGTGCAATCATGCCGACTCTGTAAAATGCATTGGGTTTTTCTTGAGTTTGTTCAAAGCCACATCATTTTACTGTAAGACTTGTAAAAGTACCCTCCCAAAGGCTTTCAGAAGCAGTAGTCATATCTGGGAGCAAAATTCTGAGGGTATGTAGTATTTACGGTTTCCATCATGGTTCTGAGAAAACGCCTGAGTTACTGTAGTGTATCAAGTCCTGCACATCTTCCTCCTTCGTGGAAGGTCAAGCGTTTATCCCCACCTTGTTATCAGCTATTTCAACAGCCAAGAGGACGGTCTCAGACCAGCGAGGAGATCCGGTGTAAAATACGGATCTCATTTCCTGTGTTAGAACCCAGTAATGCACTGCCTTTCACCCTCTTTCTGATGCAGTGCAAATGAACTTAATATTTCAAGTGAGTTTTATCCTGAAGGGATTGCTTGGGCCTCCTGACTGATGGCATTGGTGGCTGCCATTTGTAAGGAAAAGCCCTGTTGAATGCTAGATACTGCACTCTCTCAGGCATGCACAGTACGCCTACCACAGGTTGTTAGCCCTGCAGAACACTGTGTACCTGTGCAGTGGGCCTCCCTTGGGAGGGTAGAGATATCAGTTGTAAGGAAATTCTTCCATCTTTAGTCTACAGAGACAATGAAGCCAGCATTCACTTAACTGATAGATTTTTTTTAATGTAAACCATTATCAGTACTCATAATGTTCCCCCAATAACATATGTTTAAGAGAGCAGGGATCAGAGTTAATTTCTGATGTAATTCCATATTGAGAAAATTAAGAAGAGTAATCAGAGACTGAACCATGGAAAGGAAATAAATTGCTCACTTTTTGGATATGCATTCTCTCTTTCTGGCTCCCAGATCTAGTTTAGCAAATTACCTCATGGAGTACATTGAATCATATGCCCTAGTAACCAGAAACACTTAGTCCTAGTAGCCAGAGCATGTGAAGGCAGTTCTCACACCTGGGTATTATATTCTGTTTCAAAGGAAGCATCAGGCCCAATATTTGCATTATACACATCAATAAAGAATATACACATCAATAATGTTTCCATTGAAAAACAGATTATTTTTCTACAATAGATCCAGGAATACATGTAAAGTCTTTTCATATTAGGGGGTTACTGGAAACACCAGCATAAAATATATGTCCTTTATATCTGCCTGTCCCAAATCCAGTATTTTTTTATAGAAATGCTCAGATTAGAAAATCTGAAATCATTACTCATGTTATATAGCGTGACAAAGGTTCAGGGTGTCTGCTGCTCACATGCATGGCTGAGCTCGTGTACTTTTAAATAGTACTATTTTACATGTGTATGGACGCAGAAGAAAAACTCTCTTTCCATTTTAATCTCATCTTCCATTCCAATATGTGACTTATTCAGGTAAATATAAAAAAATATCATGTTTGCCATTTCCCCTCATGTTGCAAACTTCATTAAGTTTTTAAAAATTTGAACTATGGTCTTTCCTAATTAAAAATTTCACTTCCAAACTCTTGTTTTTTCAACGCTGTTTTCAAGTTTGAATCACCTAGACCAGCGGTTCTCAACCTTCCTAATGCCGTGACCCCTTAATACAGTTCCGCATGTTGTGGTGACCCTCAACCATAAAATTATTTTCGTTGCTACTCTATAACTGTAATTTTGCTACTGTTATGAATCATAATGTAAATCTTTTCGTTTTCCGATGGTCTTAGGCGACCCCTGTGAAAGAGTCGTTCAACCTCCAAAGGGGTCGCGACCCACAGGTTGAGAACCGCTGACCTAGACAGATGTTTTAACCTGCTGATGTCTGCCCCCCCCCCGGCCTCACCCCCCCCAAGATTTGGTTTACTTTACTATGGCAGGGCCCAGTCACCCAACGTTTTAAATTCCCTGGAAACTTCTCATGTGTGGTCCTGTCACATATCACCGATTTCAGCATGCGAAGCTTCTCGAGTGTTATTCAGAATTGGCACTAGCTCCGTCCTTTTCCATAAGGAAATTCATACGAGTACGTAATAGTCATGCCAAGTTTTATGGATTAACTTCTGCTGGGATAAAATCTATTCTTTATTCTTATGTTCCAGTCGACTTTCCAGACAGTACAGCTGACAGCCTCTGCAGAAGTCGACACCTATAATCCTCAGATATATGTGATCGAAGACAACACTGCCACGGTGAGCACCTCACGTCCTCCCCACGGGCGGAAGAGTCGAGGAGGCATTCCATTTCTGAGAGCTTAGAACAGTGGCTCTTCTCACCTAACATGGATGCAGGAGTATCTTAACGAGACTCTAAAACTCTGTTTATTATGTTGAGCTCTTGGCAAGGGTGTTCAGTGATAGACTTGTCCTGCTCTCACCCTCCCACCCCCCATGTTAGCAAAGCTGGATCAGAAGCGATGATCCAGTAAAAGGCAGAACAAAAGCGGCTCCATCTTGCTTGTGCGCCCTTCTCCAGCTCTTGCTGTCTCCTCACGCTTACACAAAACAGTCTAGATTGTAGGCCATAAAATCTAAGTCCTGCTTCTTGGAATCACATATTGTAGTTTGGAGTACTTTTTAAAGAGAAGTGAGGTGTGCTTAATAAATAAGACATTTATTGGAGGGGTTTTCTAAGTAGTATTCCTTATAGCTAGGCACTGACAGTGTGTGAAATGTCCATTCATTAAGTTTTACAGTCTAGAAAACGATAAATGCGCCCCTTGATTAAAAAAAAAAAAAAAGGTTTTGCACAAAAATGGACTTTAAGAGAAAACAAAGGCTCACTGTTCCCAGGGCTGGCACGGGACAACTTTCCTTTGCATTGAAACTCTGCTTAGAATGTGCCGTATTTAGATAGAGCAGGATTTCCATGCCCGGCTAATCTGCTGGCAGAGCCCTGACCATTTTCCTCCCAAAGCTTTTGTTAGAAATTGGAAGGCAATGTAAGATTCTTCCCCCAAGGCCTGCTTGGCAGCTGGCCTCGTAGCCTATGAACTTGGTGAACATGCCAGCGGCCCTGTGAACTCTGGACCTCACCCAATGTCTGCGAGCAGCACTCACACGTGCTGTGGTCCCACTCTTGTCCCAGGGAAAACGATTCCACACAATAAAGGATGCCTTTCTGCCTCTGGCTCAGGACCTTCTGCCAAGGCCCGCACCCTCTGAGACTTCAGGGGCTGGGGCATGGAAAATCAGAAACAGAGTCCAAGGAAAGGTAGTCTTCAAACTCAAGTGCTATGAACTCAGCCTGGCAGGAAAGTACTGTAGATGTTGTAAAAGGCCGTTGTAGACAAATGTAGTGCTCAGACAATACCTGGACCTCTGCTGAAGTTTTGGGGGTTTTCTTTAGAACGCAGTCTTAAATTTAAGTGTATTAATTGAAAACACAAATTAACAATTTTAATGAACCCTTTAGGAAATTTTTCTTTTCCTGGTTTTCTCTGAGCAATACTGATAAATAATAGGCCAATTATTACTTAATTGTGTCTACGAAAATATACTTTGAATCCAAACAAATATTAGGTAATTTTTTGAATATTTGGAATCCAAATAATAAATATATCCCTATAGGTAAATAAGTGATTCTTAAATTTATTTGAATCCCAGGTCCATTTAAAATTTTTATACTCATGGATTCCTATGGTTCCATGAACTCAGACTCGGAGTTCTGGAATGGAGAGAAGTAGAGAGTAGAGATAGGACTGCCATTAAGCAGTGAACTATATGAATTTAACTTCATTCCTAAATTTATAAAGCCTTATTTTAGTTCTTGACTTTACAAATGAGAAGAAATATAGTCACCAAAAGGCCAGATTCAAGTTTAGCCCAACTCAAAAATGCTGTGACGAAAAGCAGTTTATCTGCCACTATAATTCAGCATTAAATCAAATAAATAATGTTTCGTACCCTTGGTTTGCTCCAAAATACAGGTCTTTAAGAATATACATTGTGGAGGAAATGGTTGCAATTCTTTCTACGATTAAAAAAAAGAATATATGGTTTTACTATTAAAACTCGTAGAGCAGCCATTCTATTAGTCACAAAGCTTGCCAGGAAGTGGATATAAAGAATCATTGGTAGCCTCAAGGACAATTTTATTGCTGAAAAGGTCAACTTGAGCCCTGAGATATTACTTCCACTTTTTAACAGTCCATATCAAGTAATCTAGAGTGGGAGTTAAGAGAAAGCAACATTTTAGGATCTTGGTACAAAGTTATTTAATCACAAGGGATTCCGGCTGTTGATTTGTTTGACCTTTGACTCCCCTCCCCAAGACTGGGCTCCAAATGCTTTCAATTGACGATGAAACTGTATGCAAGAAATCGAAACTGCTATTTCATAAATAATGAATGCATCTGAGACTGTCAAAGATGACCTAGCCACTAAATACTGATGCAGTTAAAGGGAGGAAACTAGGAAACTCAATTCCTTGACTGTACGTGGCAGGAACATTTTCTCTAGAACTTGTACTGCACGATGTTTACTTGGGGAACATGATCATGTGCAAGTCACATCACCTCTCTAGACCGTAATTTATGAAATTTGAATTTGACTGGACCATCTCATTTTTTTTTTTTTGGTGCTAAAATTAGTTAACAATCGTTGTGTATATACATTCACAGATTCCCATCACGATAATGAAACCCCACGAGAAAGCTGAAGTCCCAACTGGAGTTATAGTAGGAAGTGTAATTGCTGGAATCGTTTTGCTATTAGCTCTGGTTGCAATTTTATGGAAGGTAAGAAAAGTTTCTTATTTAAAAATAAGGGGTCCCTAAAGACCTCTGTCTTGAATTTCCTGATCATCAGCAACTTTAATTTTTATATGGCACCCCCTCCATCATTAGAAAAAAGGCAATGCAAGTTTCTTTGCAAATCTCACCTATGCCCTTGAAAACGATCAGTAAGGATTTTATCTCCTTGGTCTTGGTCCCTATGCTTTTTTTGCTCCAAGCCTTCCTTTCATCCAGAAGCCTGAATGTTTTATTCAGCTGCAATTAAGTGGACCCTAAAAAGTTGAATTTTATGCAAGTCAGTAGAGCTCCCCGGGCATTAATTCCCTCACTGAAGGGCTGATAGCAGGTGAGTTCAGGAGTCTGCACAGCACCTCTCCAGAGCCCGAGATTCCGAGGGGCTTTGGGGAAAGCGGGTGGCAAAGGGGTCCCAGGCCCCATACAAAATAAGCCATAGATCTTAACATTTTTACATCCTCATCTTACAGCTTGGCTTCTTCAAAAGAAAATATGAAAAAATGACCAAAAATCCAGATGAGATTGACGAGACCACAGAACTCAACAGCTGAACTACCCAGCAGCTCTCACTGCCTGCCGTGGGACCAGGTGGCATCACAGCCAGGGGTTTGCTCTTTGCGTGAATGGATTCTTTTTTTAAATCCCAGTGTTTTATAATGTAATAGGTAAACTAGCCTGATATTTTATTTTACGAAAACTGCAGGCCAGTTTGGAAAGAAATTGTGGGGGGTAGGGGGTAAGGGTACAAAGGGTAAAAGACTTATTTTTTATGGGAAAAATGATCTTTACGCTGGCTGGTCCAGAGTTTACATTATCACATGCATTATGTCAAAGGTGAAATGCTTCCAAACATGAGATGCCTTAAAGAAAAAGACAGCCTTTTCCAGATTTTGGGGGTAGGGAAACCCTATAATGTAAAAGAATTGTTTTTAAACAGCAATAACAAAAGTGGAAGTACTTGGTATAGATATATCATTAGCTTGGATACTGATGTTGATGGTGAAAAAAACAACACAGGTCTTCACTTATGCTGCTCATCCAAAGTTACCACAGAGAATATTTGACAATTTTGTTTACAAACTAGGTAAAATTTGCTGTTGTCAGCCCACCGCGGCCTCCTCACAGTCCCCTTGCTATGATGCACTTACCCAAACCTGCCTGAGTAACTGGTGGGAGCCTGGAGTATGCCTCCTGCAGAGGAAATCTCCAATAAAGGGAGGGGTGGGGGTGGAGTAGTTTAGAAGCCAAAGCACGAAATTTTACTTAAAATCTGTACCAACATTTATGGTAAAATCCTGTCTGCTGGAGGACCAGCCTGTGCCAGAGGAAAAAGGAGGAAGTTTCCTTTCCGTTCTGCTTGAGGATGTACAGCTGGCTGACTTGACTGGCTGGCTGGCAGGAATCTAGTCCATTTCTGAAAGATGAGTACCTCCTTTGGCATTTTTCTTCCTTCTCCATTGACCCACTCTCGCCTCCTGGTGCCCCATCTTCTAGAAGCACACTGACGCAGTTTCCTCTCCGGCAGTCCAGTTGCCCACCTGCCTTTAACCCTCATCCAGATCCTTCCCTCAGGGCAGCGCTCTTCTCTGGGTGTGACTAGGAAAAGGCATCTGTTTAACTTACACACTTGCATGAATTACTATATGATCCCCTTCACTTCAGGGTGCTATTTTCATTTACTGATAAACAAGAAAAACAAGCCTGAGGGAATTTCTAATTGTTGGAATTTCAGGCAGTGTAAACAAGTAAAGTAAAACATCTCAGGAATTTGCAAGGAAGTACAAAGAGAAATTGGAAACCGCCAACTGAGCAGGTGCATCTCTGCTTGTCTTTTTCCAGAGGACTTCAACTTCCAGGATGACTTTCACCTAGACAAGTCTGTGCAGACGGTAGATTCTTAGGTCCCAATTCTGAGTCTTACTGGTGGGGTTAGGTGAGGCCCAGTAACCTGTATTTAACAAGCACCCTGTCATTATGATGGGAATGGGCCACCAGAGGAACACCACCCATTTCTCCTCCTGTACCTCCTTTTCTGTACTTCTGAGCCCACACATTCTCGAGGAGGTGGGACTGGGAGAAGGGCACAGGCCAAAGCAGTGGGCACTGTGCTGTGTCAGAAACTGCTCACCTAAAGCTGCGGACAAGTCACTCTGCCTCTATAAACGTCAGCATCCTCGTTATAAAGTGGGAAGACTGGGTTGGAGCTCAGCAGCGACGTTCTTAGCTTTCAAAGTCTAGGGTCTGGATTTCTTATAATATGAATCGACAATCCTCCAAGAATTTGACTCTGAAAAGAAGTCACAGGAAAACAGGCGTTTGCCTGGGTGCAGCCGGCCTTGGCTGCCCTCCTGGCCTGGCCCATGATGGCCGTCCAGAGCTACACACACAATCTAATGAGTTATCTGGTATTTGACAAAACAAAGAAGAAAAAAGTTAGCCATAAAATATCAGGGGTTTATAGCAAAAACAGCATGGTATTTTCTAGTTGGATGTGCTAGAGCCCAATTTTTTTAACAGCAGCGTGGATTCAAACACTGTTTAATTCCAATAAAATTTTTATTTAAAAAATGTGGAGAAGAAATTGGTCATTAAGTTGATAAAGAATATTTAATAAGCCATGTAACTGCTGTATATATATATATATGTGTGTGTGTGTGTGTGTGTGTGTGTAAGAACAGCACCTGTTCTTCAATGTGCTGTACAAAGAATTATAGCCTGCCATGCTTTTATTCTGCCCCGCCTCACCTCCTTTGGATAAGCACTACACCGAGGTCACATACACACAGTGAGCTTGGCTTAGGAAATCTGCCTTGATGGCATTGTTTCCATGAAGTAACTGGGTTACTAGAAACTAAAAAATTAGCCACTTGTCTCTGCACCATTTATGACACTAGAGCAGCGTTTCTCAACCTTGGTGCTACTGACATTGTGGCCAGGTCATTATTATGGGAACTGACCTGTGCATTGCTGGCTGTTTAGCAGCATCCCTGGCCTCTACCTACCAGATGCCAGGAGCACCCTCTCTCTCTCTAGTCGTGACAATCGAAAAAAGTCTCCAGACATTGTATCTGGCCTCCTGGGAGGCAAAATCATCCCTATAGAGAACCACTGCACTAAGAGCCAAGTGGCCTAAACAGACAACTTCTGCTATCAGATCAATGGTTTGAGGCAGAGGCTCTATTTCTTCATAGAGGAGTATTTCTCAAGTACTTTTATGCATAGGTGACTATTCATCCAAGAAATTAAGTGTGTGTGTGGGGGGACCCAACACTGTTTGAAAAAAAACAGTTATGTGTTCCTATTCAACCATACTTTTGTTTTGAAACCATGCAGTGTAGGGCTTAAAAGAGCCGTCTTAAAAGTTTCCATTTCATAAATGGTATGTAGGCAAGATCTAAAGAATGTGATAAAAACTGAGCTGCTTCACACATGACTGCCACATAAGCCTCATAAAATAGTATCAGAGAAAAATTGTTTGTGGAAAAACTGCATTGAGATTTGAAATTGTACATTGCTCATTTTAGCAGCAAAATGAAAACTTCTAACTAGACAAACTTTTTCTAGCTGGCAGTGTTATTTTTAAAAAGTAGTGAAAGTTATCTATTAACTGTGAAGAGTAAAGAAACTAAAACCAATTTATCACACAAGTGATTATACTAAAAATGATTACAAAAGGTATAATTTTATAGTGTATTTATCTATTCTGATGTACAGCTATAACTTAAGGTAGGAAAACCCCATAAATTAAGACATCATTCAACAGAAAGCAGGATTCCTCAAACTGAGCTCTCTGGTCCATCTGTATTATTTCGGTTTGCACATAGAAAATAATTGTATACAAAACATTTCAGGACTATGCCCTTTGTGTACAGTAGTAACACATACCTATTTAATCAATGTAAAAGACTAAACATCTAAAAGGTAAAAGGTAAACATGGGGTAAAGTTTGAAATAAATAAAAATGTAAACTACTTCTTTGAACCTTAAAGAAGGAAAATGTAGCCATTATGTAAATATGAAGAGATGGTTTCATATGTACCTGATTAGCAGATAACATCAAAATATAAATGTATATATTGCACAATGTTAGAACTGTATATTTTTTAAAGACAATTGTGTTGGATATTTTCTTCATACATAATGTATAAATCTTTGTTAAGATGTAATAAGTACATTGTTTTTTAATAGTTTTTTTAATCTTTTTTCTCTCCACCAAAAATATGAAACAAACATGTGCATGTTTGTACATTGACTTTGCAATTCATTTGATTTCTGAGAAACAAAAATCAAATTGGAGTAGTAATCAACGTGAATTAAGAACTTTTCTCATATTAAAGTATGAGAATCAAACAGAAAAGTATTATTTAATTCTAGACCACTCTTTTCATACCACATTACTGAATATCATTAAAATCGTTTTGAAAATAAAACTGTTTACTTTGGATTTAGAATTTTACGGCTTATATATTTCACTGTATTTATCTTAAGAATGCACTGTGATTCACAATACACCAAGACTCACCAAAGAAGCAGGATGTATCTAACCTTGTACGTAACTCTTAGTGACCACAATGATGTTCTGTGGTCAAACTACCTTCATAAGTGTGAAGCCCTGCTCTGCACACTGGTCCACAGATAGGCAGCGCTGCATCACCTAAAGCCTATTAAAAATGCAGATCTCAGATGCTACTTAGAACTACTGAAGTCTAATGAAAGTTTAATGAGATCCTCAGATAATCCAAATTACAGTAAAGTTTGAGAAGCACTGCTCTAAAACACAACTTAACTCTTGAAATAAAAGTGTGCTTGGAATAAAGTAGACAGGAAAAAAGAGTCAGCCAAGGCTGCTGCAACCTACAAAAATAGGCCTCAACATAGTGGTGTGTATTTTCTTTAATTTTAGTAGCAAGCAGGAGAGTTTAAACATGCATAAAAAATGAGTTGAAATTATAAAACAAGATACATATCAAGCTCACAGACTGGCCACCATTGCAGAGATGGCACATTAATGCACATGTTGGGTGGTCTGTGCTGCCATTTACGGCAAGGCACAAATGTCTCCCGTTCCTGCCGCAGGTGATCTCACACGCCCTCCTCTCTTCTGCCCATCTCAGTTCTGGGAAGCCAAGTCATAAACGCAGCTTACTGCAGACCCCCCGCCACTTAGGTGTCTGGCATGCACCATACATTAAAATACAACTCTGGAGAAAGACAGTTTTTGTCTGTTTTGTCACAGGTAGGTTAGGAAGTGCTGCTTAAAGACCTATATTTAAAGCTACCATTTTGTCCCAAATTGGAAAATAATTTTATATTTACTCACTTTTTAAAAAGTTAATTCCTTTTACTTATTCTACATCACCTTTTACAAACTACAAACAGCATTTTAAAAAATTCCTCCCTTGTTCTATCATAACCCTTTAATATTTTAAACTAAGATACCACTTAAAGAACAAAAATCATCATATTCAAAATCAGGGACTACTTTTCATCTAAGGACAACCCCAACCTAACTTAAAAAAAAAAAAAGGCTACTAACTAAAAACTGAACTTTCAGGTTCTGTGCAAAATAAGGTTACTGGACTACAAAACCTAGTAAGACTCAGGTTGCTCTTACTATAGCCCTGGTTTTACCGCCCTCTGCTGGGTGAACTATGTAACCACATCACACCGATTATTACCACCTAAATCCAGTTACCATCTGTGAACATACAAACTTACTACAATTGTTATTTATTATTAAATATATTCCCTATGTCGTACATTACATCCCCATGACATTTATTTTGTAACTTGAAGTTTGTATCTCTCGATCCTCTTCACCTATTTCACCCGCATCCCCAATCCCCCTCCTCTCCGGTTAACCACCAGTTTGTTTCCTGTATCTGAGTCCGTTTCTGCTTTGTTTTGTTTGTTCATTTGTTGTTGTTTTTTAAGTCCACATATTAGTAAAATCATACAGTATTTGTCTTTCTCTAATTTATTTCATTTAGCATAAAATCATACATCCAATAAGGGGCTAATATCCAAAATATATAAACAACTCATACAACTCAACAACAAAAAGCAAACAATCCAATTAAAAAATGGGCAGAGGACCTGAACAGACACTTCTCCCAAGAAGACATACAAACAGCCAACAGACACCTGAAAAGATGCTCAACTTCAGTAGCTATTAGGGAAATGCAAATCAAAGCCACAATGAGGTACCACCTCACACCTGGCAGAATGGCTGTCGTCAAAAAGACAAAAAAATAACAAGTGTTGACGAGGATGTGAAGAAAAGGGAACCCTTGTGCACTGTTGGTGGGAATGTAAACTGGTGCAGTCACTATGGAAAACAATACGGAGGTTCCTCAAAAAATTAAAAATAGAATTATCATATGACCCAGCAATTCCACTTCTGTGTATTTATCCAAATAAAATGAAAACACTAATTCGAAGAGCTATATGCAACCCCACATTCATAGCAGCATTATTTACAATAGCCAAAATATGGAAGCAGCCTAAGTGTCCATCGAGAGGTCTTTAATATACTCAGTGCTCAGTAACTATGTAAGACGTCACAGGATGGGAGTAGGGAAAGGGGTGGAGGAGAAATTTTACATATCAACTAACAGTCTAACAAACCAACCTTGTTGCTACTCAGTTTGCCTGATTTTACAACCATTTTATGCTGATTGTATATCGATACAATACTATTAACTAATAAAGTACAATAAGTATTATGGTAAGATGATAGATTCTGAAATACTACAAATCTCCGTATTATTATGAAATACATGCTTTAGGTATTATCACTGAATTTAAAAAAAAACACAAAAATAATGCTTTTAAACTTTTTAAATCATGTTTTTATTTGGCTTATTTTTAAAATATATCAATTCTAAAAATATATCATTTCATGACTGTCCGATAATGCCTTTTTATACCTTCCAGTTCTGCCGACATTCCCATGATGCTTACTGGGTAACAGTGACATCCCTGGGTATGCAGGTTGGGGGCCGGGGAGCAGGCTCTGAGACCAAGTTAGTGAGGCGGGGCCACACCTCAGTGAGTCAAGGTACAATTAGACCTTAGGCATCAAATACAAGGTCTACCACAAGCATCTTTCTTCACATTGAAATTATTTTTCCATTTTTTTTGCTAAAGCCTTTCCTCTATCTCTAGTTCCAGTGTTAGACCTCATCCTAAACACCCATTTATTTTGCTTTTTTTCCTCCTTTTTGTCTCACCGGTATACCATAAGAGATTGTGCTTCGGTAAACTATCTTAACTTCTGGAGAAAAAAAATCAAAATGTGATCAAAGATAAGTTTACCAAATTTAGGGTGTAGACTGTGTAAAACACCAAAGTGATTTAATCACTTGTTGCCCAAAAGCATTCTTTGTTTCTTTTCCAAGATGATGATGCTTCTTCATACATTTCCTAAAAACAGAGCCATAATAGGTATTCAAAATAAATCATTTTAATAAATGCAAGTATATTTGAATAGTGAAGCAAATGAGTATCACAACTAGTTCAATCTGTTCCTCTTTAACAATCCAATAAAAGTTTATATAAGAGCACTGAGTGCAGAAAAATGAATAAACATGTTCCCTACACGTAAGGACTCCCAATCCAGTAGGAGGAGAAACAAGACAAGAGGCCTTAACAAGACGAGGTGCATCAACGAAACAGAATGAACAATGAATCTGGAGCAAGGACAGGAGACGGCCTGGGCAGGGTCATGCTGGGAAGATGGAAGGTCTTTCAGCTTCTTTCCAAACACTCCTACTACTTCAACATTTCTAAATATGCTTTTCCAAAGGCAGAAGGGATATTTTCATTAGCTGTGAAATAAGTGACCACCCACAGTTCTTAAATAAGTTTGAGCTGCGCTCTGGTGACAGTTGCTCTGTAAGTACACGCCCTGCCTGCCTGCCCAGCCCCTGCTGTACGACCGATCATCTCCAAGCACAGACTGAGACTAGAACCAGGCTAGCATTCAGATAATATTTGGAAGGGAGGAGGATAAGGAAATATCACTTTCTCTTCTCACTCTCTAGTCAGTTCTATTTTCTGTAGGGATAGGAAGCCAAATTCGATTGTTCTCTGAACACCTACCTGTACACTCCTTTCACCATCTATCGACAGAAAAGTACAAAGAAAGCCCCACTAGTTCTGCAATCCTAAAAACAAGAGTATGCCTCTCTCTCGCCCGCTCCCTCAATTTGGGGGACTACCCTCTCATCTACTCCTGTCGGCTGGCCATCCATTCTTCCTCCCTGGTAAGGAAGCTACCCCTGCCACCTAGGCTCACAGCTCCTTCTAGAAGTCTCTCCAACCTCTCTCTCTGCAGAGACTTTCCTCCTGGTCTATCAAAATTGTGGCGGCCTTGTTCATAGCACACACCAGATATCTGAGCTTCGCTAAGCCAGTGTGCATTCACCTACCCTGTCCTCTAGTCCCAAAGCCTCCCCCCTTCTAACAATGGGCTTCGGTTTTTAGTCAGAAAATACGGTCACTGGATTTCACAGGCCCTGGTTCCAAGTCCAGTGCGCTCATCTCTACGTAGCACTGACCAGGGCTCCTCGGAAGCACTCGCCCTCCGGTCCCCTGCTCTGGCTTTCTGACCCCACTGAGCGGTTCACTCGCTCCTCAGCTTTGCTACCAGCATCAATGCTGTGGGACATTCTAGACTCTCAAGTGTTGCTGCGCATTTGCGAGCACAGAACAATCCCACTGTCAGAGTAACCGCACCGGGGAGAAATTAAGGAGTTGGGCCTTTTCATCTCCTCAGAATGCTCTGGGTAACCAGACAATTGTTTGCATGTGCTGATGTGTTTCATGTACTGGACAGAAAACAAGGTAGAATTTCCGGTTTTTAAATTCACTCATGATGCATATTCTCCAAGTAGGCAAAAGCCCACCCTTTTCTTTCCTAAAAAAGAAGGAACTCTAGGAGAAGGTTCCTTTGCCTTGAAGAATCTCTATTTTAGCCACTGCCTAAGTAGCCATGCATTATTCCCACTTTCCAAAGGAAAGACCCTCCCATTCAAGGGAAGTCTACTCCAAGGGAAACTGCCTCATCTATGAACCACTGAACAGTCCAGACGAGGGATTCTAATTGTTACCACTTGTTGACACCTATTCCATGCCATGCATTCTTCCATGCCACGCATTCTTTGGGGCATGTATTTTTCATGCTTACAAACCTTGGAAAAAGATATTATATAAATACCCTATTCCATAGATAAAGAAAACTAGACTCTATAAAAGTCAGGGAAGACCCATGAATACAAACTCTGTATGGGTTCTTATGCCCTACCCTTTAAAAATGCCTCAGAAGAATCATATCCAATGGCAAAATTAGGTTATTTTCTTAACTTACCTTTTTCCATATGGGTACGTTGGCTTTTAAAGTATCAATGGCGTAGCTCACAGCTTCAAGAGATGCAGCCCTGTGGGCTGAGGACACAGCAATGATAACGCTTGCTTCTGACACTGGAACTAAGCTGTAACAAAATGAAGGAAAAAAGTTACTCTCTTCTCTAAATCTGCATGTTAAACAATCTACTACACTTGGAAAAAAAAAAATCCTGTGAAGCACACTTAGAACTAAACATTCAGTTTAGTTCAAAAACAGAATTCATCCCAGTTGCATTCAGCAGAGGTTTGGCTAATTTGTTAACATCTGTCCACCCACCAAACCTGTTTCATGGGCACCAAGAAGAAAGAGACCTTTCACTAATTCAACAAATATCTGATTTAAATGAACAAGGCACAGTGCCAGGTAATGCCTAGAGAAACAAAGTTACCAAATGATGACTGTAACATAGAATTTAAAATATTAACTAGCAACAAACATTAAATAATAGAATTGATAACATTAATAAAATTATAGCCGTTAATAACAAAATAATAACTAACAGAATATGATAGATGTAGTTTCAATTGCGGAGTTCTTTTTAAATCCTGGAAATCCACTCATCTTAATGATACAAAAAGGCAAACTAATTTAATGACCTTCAAAGGCATTTACATAAAAAATAAAAAAAACATTTCTTAACAGATTGTCATATACACAGAGCCTAGATACAAAACAATTCTTAAAAGACTGCATAACAATTCTCAAGGATTTCAGCACACATTAGCCCAAGCCATTTGGCTCAGGGCCCAAGAGTTTTGGCACTTTTGGACTCTGTTACAGCATCTGGCAGTCTCCAAATGTTGCAATGTAACAAGCAGGCTTAAAGGCATGGGGAAGGTCTCTCCAATGTCCTCAGAGTAATACACACCCCCTCACCCTAAGACAGGATTCCGATGAAAGACTCAAGAGTCAGAATCAGCACAAAGGTAGAAAACAATTATGCTTAACTTTAAATTGACAAAGGAAGTCATACCCAAGTCTATGGAACACCGCTATGTGTTTGACTGGCCATTTCTGCCTAAGGTTGCTACAGATTTTTCGAACTTCATTTTCTGCCATTGGTAGATATGCTTCATATTCTAAGCTAATGACTTTTTTCCCTTCAAAGTTATTTCTTGTAGTCCCTAAAACAAACAAACAAACAGAAAAAGGCAATTAAAATAATGTTTCTCCTTACAATAGAAATTGCACATTAATAGAAAAAGAATTATTCTTTAATAGACAGGTAGCATACCAATTTTTCTAAAAATTACTTTGAAATGTTTTTAAAATGAAAACTTGATTAAAAAACAAAAGATAATTATCACAAAGATAAGAAAATAAAATGTCACTAATTAGGCAAACTAAAGTAACCACTCAGAGAAACCAGGATATATTCCTTTTCTAATAGCATTTGACACTTACAAGGAAAACATTATGTTCCCAGGATTATTTATCATTATCATCACCATTTTTCCCTCAGTTTTTGGAAAACACAGAAACCTCTCTGCTAATGACGACTTTCATCCTACTTTTTAAAATGACTTTAACGTGTTAATTTGAAGATTACCAAAATAGAACAAGAGCTAAAAAGAGTGTCTACCCACCACCATAGGCAATCTTGGCTTACTGCTCAGTACCTTGTAATCTCGTCAACACTGACCATGGGAAACACCTGCCATTTCTATCGTTTTACGCAGTCAATAGATGCTGGGAAAAATTACAACTCACCTACAAACAGGGATATTGCACCACAGAGTGGAGAAGTCACCAACTGTGAGACCTCATCTACTGACAGTTTCTCAGCAGTGAATTTTATGATATCTTTAGGTTTCTCTTCAGCTTCATTCATATCTTTTCTAGAAATAAGACATTAATAAACCTTACCATTGGTACTAAGGGCAAAATACCCAACTTATAGGCTGTGTTTCAATTCATATTTTTTCTACATTAGAAGTGTTAAGAGGCATGATTTGATCTGGATAACATTAATCAAGTAAAATTTTTAGCAAAACTCAACATATTTAAATACCCCTCATGAATCAAGCATGA